TGGGAAAACAAGTATCTGATAACAAAAGAACTATCGATAATCTTCTTGAGCGAAATATGATCTGGAAGAACGATCTATACTATGTCTCGGAGAAGCTTGAAGATCAAGAAAGACGCGGGCGTGTAGAGAATCTCGAGTTTCATGGAGTTTCCCATCACTGAAAATGAGAATACGGATGAAATAGTCTGTAACATAGCAATGATGAATTGGCGGTTAACATCCATGCCACCGATATCTTGTTTCACACAGAATGCCAACAGGAGCCCAACATACTAGAACTCCTGCCATAATTGCAAAATTCGTCCACCGCAAAAACAAAATGAAGATCTTTGAAAAAAGAAAGTCCCTGCGATCAATAAAATCAAGCGCAGTGTTTAAACATCCTTCAAAAATATTTATTGCAGAAAATCTAACGGCTCTGAATAAAGATCTCTACTTCAGAGCTAGAGCTGCAAAAAATAACTGCGGATACAAATTTATATGGACCTCAAATGGAAAGGTATTCGTGAAAAAGAACAGCGATGTCAAAAACTCACTAAATATTAGATGTGATGAAGATCTGGCAAAAATCAAATAACTGTTATGTGAGTGCCATTTTCTACTTATTCTATGTTGACTAATACTGATATAACATGTCATTTATGTAGCAAACTATTATTATCTGATCAAACTAAAACAAACTGTGAAATATTTGCCAAACTATTCCACTCTGAATGTGCTCTCGCCTCCGCATCCCCTCGCGCACCACGATCTCAGCCTTATTTTTGTTATTCGTGTTTGAATGGAATCTCTCCCCCTCGATCTAACCATAAGGTTCATAGTGCACTTGACCAGAATTCCAAATTCCTAAGCGAAATAAGTAGATGTGCATGTGCAAATATACAAGTATCCGATTTGAATTCTACCAGTAGGTCCATGCCAAGAAATTGTTTTATTGCTTTTCACCTAAATATTAAATCTCTCCAAAAAAATCATGATGAGCTTGTCAATCTATTATCTGAATTAGTTATACCCCCACATCTCATTGCCATTTCAGAAACGAGGCTTGGTGCGACTCCCACCTCAAATATTTCCATTTATAATTATGAATTCATTCACAAACCTTCCAAAACAATTGCTGGGGGAGTTGGCCTATATATTACTCGAGACCTTGGTTTTTGTGAGATTCATGAATACGATCTAGAACATCCAGACTGTGAAGATTTATGGATCAACTTAAAACTAAATTCCAACATCTCTTTCATAATTGGAGTAATCTATAAACACCCCAGAAAAGATATCATCAAATTTACCGAAACTATTTCCAATGCATTAGAAAAGTTGAATAGGGACAAAAGATTATTTATCCTACTGGGTGACTGGAACATTGATTTATTGAGTCATTCAACAGATCTGGCCACTATGAGGTATATTGATCTACACCTTGCCAATTTATCACTGCCCTAATTACTAAACCAACACGAGTAACTCGTACATCCAGTACATTGATAGATAATATTTTTACAAATTCCATTAACCATGATTTGTCAGCTTTGTCATCCTAAGTGATATTAGTGATCATTATGCACAATTATGTACAATCTCTGCTCCCGTTAGTAAGATAAATAAAAACAGATTACTAAGGCGAGATATGAGACATTTCTCTATTGATAGCTATAGATCTGACCTAGAATGTTCTTTGCACCCCATATCGAATTGCAAAATTACATCTGATAATTTAAATATTTTATTCGATTCATTCATTCAGATATTTAAATCAACCATTGATGCCAATGCACCAATGAAACCACTGAGTCGGCGAGAGAATAGACTTCTAGCTAAACCTTGGTTGACTAAAGGCATCCGCGTATCAATTAAGACGAAACAGAAAATGCATAAAAAATATTTTAAAAATGGTAGCGACACAAAATATAGATTATACAAAACTTACAGCAATTTACTTAGAGTCTTGATAGCTAAAGCAAAGAAATTGTATTACTTTAATAAATTTAAACAAGTCAGTGGCGACGTTAAATCAACGTGGAACCTAATTGGGCGACTGGTCAATATAAAAAAAGACATAACATCAACAACTACAATTAAAGCACTAAAAACAGAAACTGGGCAGAAAGTAAGCAATCCAGATCTTATTGCCAACTATTTTAATGATTATTTTATCTCTATAGGCCCTAAGCTTTCTGAAAAAATCCCTCACACTGGATCTTTTTTGAGCAACCTTAAGAATCCAATAAAAGAGTCTTTTTTTCTGAGACCAATAACCGTCAATGAAGTATATTACACAATAGCAAGTTTACCTGATGGTAAATCGGTTGGTTATGATAATATTCCAGCGAAATTTCTAAAATATGCTGTTGACATAGTTTCCCCATTGCTATGTAAATTATTTAATGCCTCTATAGACTTTGGAATTTTCCCTCATAGTTTGAAAACTGCCAAAGTTTCACCGGTATATAAATCTGGGGATAAAGAATGTACATCAAATTATCGTCCAATATCAGTTCTATCCCCATTGACTTTAGTATTTGAAAGGCTTTTACATGCTAGACTAACCGAATTCATAGAAAGACATGGCATTATAAACAAATCCCAGTTTGGGTTCCAAAAACAACACTCCACTAATCATGCAATTCTCGATATGATTTCTTATTTCTATGATAAGTTAGAGAGTAGGGAATTTATCAGTGCTATTTTTCTTGACCTCAAAAAGGCATTCGATACCGTTGACCATAGCATACTAATTAGAAAAATGAACCATTATGGTTTTCGCGGCCACGCGTCAAAATTTTTCCAGAGCTATCTGAGTTATCGCCAGCAGTGTGTAAAAATCGGATCAAGTTGCTCCGAGCTTGCAACTGTACAATGTGGAATTCCACAGGGTTCGATAATTGGCCCATTAATGTTCCTCCTTTTCGTCAATGATCTTCCGCACGCCACTAACTTGCTTGTCAAACTCTTTGCTGATGATACCGGATTGTTTGGAAGTTCAGCTTCTCCAAGTGATTTGGAATTGGGTATGAACTCTGAAATGGATAAAATTTCAACTTGGATGACTAACAATAAACTCACGATTAATGTCGAAAAATCTAAATGCCTATTGATTAGCCACAAAAATAATCGTAAAAATAAAATTCGACTTGAGATTAGCATTAATGGATCTCTACTCGAAAATGTGAACTCTTTTAAATACCTTGGCATCCACATTGATGATCAAATGAAATGGGCCACCCATATTAACTATGTTGCTGGAAAGCTGGCAAGTGCAACTGGTATGTTATACAAACTTAGAAAATTTCTTACCATGCCAGTCCTTCGAATGGTCTATTTTTCTCTTTTCCAGTCATATCTACAGTATGGTATCATATCATGGGGTAACGCATCGACTACTCTCCTTCGAAGATTGGAGGTTTTACAAAATAAAGCAGTTCGATCCATATGTAACGCACCATTTCGGTCTAGACTAGATCCTTTATACCACAGATGTGGAATAATTAAACTTGGTCATATTCATGAATCTGAGGTATTGAAACTCATGCACCAGTACTTTGATGACAAACTTCCCATGGCATTCACCGAATTTTTTACGAAGCAGAGTAATATCCATTCCTACTCTACCAGATCGGCTTCATCAGGTTCATTCCATGTCCCAAGGTACTCCTCGAGCAGAACACAGAAATCCATTAAATATATAGGTGTGAAACTGTGGAACGCTTTACCTAATACCATTAGATACCTAGCATATTGCACTTTTAAAAGAGACCTAAAAAATAAATATATCGGTGAATATCTCTCCTCTTATACCAGTACGGGTAACCACTGAAATTTCTACTAAGATCGCTTACTTTTTATTACCGTAACGATCTGGCCTACACTGGCTAACGTCAATCAACTCGAACGAAAATAGGTGCAAGGAATCGGAATCCGAGAGTATCTGCTACATTAATAGTTGATTCAAAAATCGTTCAGAGTGGAGAGCGATAGCTTATTGCCCTTAACCTACGTTCGCTATTATTTTCAATGACCAGGCCGTTTTATCTTTTCCTCTTTATTATTTACATTATATAGATGTAATAGTTTGTTTGTATTCCTCATTAGACCTTATCAATTTTTCGTAAGTGTCTCCTAAATTGCATTTGCTGTAAATATTTTCGATTTACTGTTTGCCTTATATTGCTTTTAGTTGCATATTCCGCCAAACTTACCTTCCTATATTTTTTCTGTGCTTTTATCTTGCTTCCTCGCGTTTTTATTAGTTGTTAGTATTATTCCGTGAAAGTTACATTTTCTGTTTTACTGTGTCATAATCGCATACATTTCGAATGTCGCTGTAATTGTATCAGTTGTGACTTATTCCTAGGATTTATTCATTTTATCCCTCATTTAATTATATTTATTCTAACCTGTAGCGCTGTAGGTGTCGCTGCTTGAAGACCTTCTTAGGTCCCTCGCGACTCCGGTCACGCAAAAACATGATTAGTACTGTAATTTATTCATTATGTCACTTTATGTTTGAACGTGTTTTTTTGTGATGACAAAATAAACGATTGATTGATTGATTGCCCACAAATGGTAATGTTATTGAGATACGCAAAAACACCGGTCAGGTTTTCTTCTTTTACCAGGTTCATCATTGCCCTCTGGAAGCAGGCCACACCATTTGTGACTCCAAACGGTAAACGAGTGAACTGGAACAGAGCACCCGCAGCTTCGAAAGCAGTATATTTCTGGTCTTCCTTTTCAAGTGGAACCTGATGGTATGCACTTTTTAAATCCACTGTGCTATACACACGATAATGAGCAATTTCGTTGATTATATCGCTCATATTAGGTAAAGGAAACGCGTCTGAGTAAATTTATTGATGGTCTGTGAATAATCGATTACAAACCTTCGTTTTCCATTTTCACCCTTTACGACGACAACTTGAGCTCTCCACGGAGATCTGCTAGGCGTTACAATTCCTTCCTGTAACAAACGGTTGACCTCCATTTCAATAAACTTTCTATCATCTTTGGAATACCAACGCGACTTTGTAGCAATAGGATTTGTAGTCAGCAGTCAGATTTTTGAATGGTTCTGGTGGCAAACTTTTGAAAGTTGAAAAGCCACATACAGACATTGGAGGTCGATCGCCGCCGTAATTATAAGTTACACTTTGATGCTGTCCTTGAAAGTCTATTCCAAGTAAAATGTCACAACATAGATCATCCATTACTCTCGATATGAATTTTTGATAGTGTCGGCCCTGATATTCAATATCAGCTGCTGTGCAACCTTTTATAGGCATGGAACACGCCAGAGAAGCCATTGCTACCTTGTCCTTAACTGTGTCCCTTTTGATTGGGAGGTTACACCTTTCTATGAGACGAGGGTGTATGAAACTCTGACTACTGCAACTATCAAAAAGTTTGCGTACTTTGTGTCCTTCAATATGAATCACAGACGACGACCCTCTCAATGATTTCGGGGTATTGTCAAAAGCCATTCCTAATATATACGAGTTAGAACATGCAGTGACTTCGTCAGGATTTTGTGGGTTGAAAACGGTTCCTCTGCAGACTTTTATGAAATGTCCTTTTTTATGACACTTGAAACAAAACACATTTCGGGCTGGACATTTTGAACGAGGATGTTTCTTTCCGCCACAGAAAAAGCACGCGGAATTTGCAGTAGCAGATATTTTCTCGATATCACACGATGTCTCATCGTTTTGAGTTTCACTGTTTTGAGCAGCCGCAGACACAGTAGAAGGATCGGATACTCGATAAGCTTCAGCATTCTAATTGCTACTTCTAAGCTTCTGGCTTGATCGTATGTCGTATTAAGATCAAGGTGTTTGTTTTCCAACAAACGCTGTCGTATCCATGTGGAGTTTAACCCCCGGATAAAAGCGTCTCGGACATAAGCATCTCGGTTTTGAACAGCAGATACAGCTTTGAAATCACAATGTTTGCTTAACGATTTCAATGCTTGCATGTATTCGTCTACATTTTCAGATGCTTGTTGGTTCCTGGTTGCCAGAACATGCCGAGAATAAACTTCATTGAGAGGTTTGACAAACATTGTTTTCAGAATCTCAATCGCAGTATCGTACGATTCTGCCTCCTCAATGTTTTGGAATATACGAGGAGATATGAAATTCACCAGTACACCAAGTTTATCAAGGCCTTCAGACGGCAAGGCGTTTAGAAAATTATCGAAAGTCTTCTTCCAGTGCAGCCACTCACAGGATGCTTCACTAGAGTTAGGATCTACCTCCAGTCTCTCTGGTCTCAGAACCTTGTCCATGCTTGTACCAGAATACTCTTGTGAAATGATTAAGTTGAATAAATTGTAATGAATGAGAAATATAGTACCTTGATATAAGGCTTTATTCAACTTAAATTGAAAGCACTCTTAGAATGAATCTAAAATAATATAACACGAGCAAATGTTATTAAACAAGAAAACAAATACGTATCGAATTGCTGATGCTAACAGTAAGCGGCTCAATAGTTAAATGAATAAAGTTGAAAGAATTAACACACTACATCTACAGCACAGCAATGATTGGTGTCTGATTTAAAACGCCACAGCAATCATCGCTTGACTGCAGCTGTATAAACAAATAGATACATTGAGTTGCATTTCCAAGTTATCACAGTACTTTTAAAAAACAGATTGTTGTATGCGATGAATCATAATGATGGTTTGAAACACATACCCCATTTTACAAGCACCAACTCGCAAAACCACTCCTAAAATAGTCCCGAAAATTTTGCAATGATGAAGTATAGAAAGAATTTTTGGGGGTCAAAGGTCGGGGAAAGGTCCATTGTAACACAGATGTCACATTTTCCAAGTGGGGTTGAATTAGGTCGATAGTCAAAATGAGATAAATGTGTGCTCAACATGGTCAAAATGAACTAAGAATCCCAAATATCAGATTTTTCCTTCAACTCTATCATTGTCTGGGCTCCCCGGGGTTAAAAAAATCCCCCTCGCAACTTCTTACGCGGTTGAAATAGAAAGCACATCCGGATTCGTGAATCTTGACTCTGTTAATCCGGTTCACTAAAACGGCATTGGATTTTGCTCTCAGTTGTTTCAGCGTTTGCATGTGTTTACCTGCTAGCTTGTCTGGAAATATGATTCAAAACAACAAACATTTCAAGTTTGTGACGAAAGAAATTGCTAAAGAATGGGAGAAATCTGGAAAAGCAGAAATGTGAGCTGTACTACAGTTGTTTAGTTTTGTTTATTGGTGTTTATGGCATGTTGAAACCTCATTCCTGCATTTGGGTCATTTCAAGTTTGCGTAAAGTTTAGTTTGTATTTATCGTTACAGCAAAACAAACAAATATACAGAAAATCGGAAAAAAGGGGCAAAATCTTAAAAAAGCTTTAGAAAGTGCACCAATAGTCAAGAGTAAGCGGACCCACATACCTGTAGAGTTATCAGAGGTGTAGTGCATATTCTCTTGGCTGCTTGGGGCGATGCAGCACACCGCCTAGTCATATGTGCTGTTATATTTTGATACCATGATTTAAAATAAATTATCTATTCGTGGGACATACTGACATACCTGCTTAGTTTAAGTTTAGTGAGTTTAATTTGAACTAAACATATGTTCCAAGATTTTTATCCAGCGTCACACAGGCTTTTTTTCTTAATTACCTTTGAAATTTCAAGTCACATTTTTGTTAGGCGTTATTTAAGCAGTTAGTGTGGGATATACTGGTGTGGGCCTAGGCTGTAGGTCTTGCGTTTCTCTGCCAGTCCAGTAGAGAAAAAAATGTTTTGGGAAAATAAGAAGCGTTCTTGTTATTTCATCTCTGGCAACTAAAACAACTCTGTGCAGTTTTGCAATTTTGAATTCCTTGTTGGCTCTATATTGTCCTCGAGTAGTGTACATAACACAGTTAGTTAATTGCGAGGCCATTTATGATTAGGCTGCCTCATTGGCTTTCTCTACTTTCAGGATAAATATGAATTCTATATTACTTTGCTATTTTTTTTTTTCAGAATCAGCAAATGTGAGCATTTCATCTCAGCCCAGAAAAGACCAGTAGAAGTCGTTCAAGGAAAAGGTGATATTTTACTCTTATTTATGATAATTTTACCGTATAATCAAGCTTGGAGCCGCGCTATGCATTCTCCTAAAGAAAGTTCACTTCATCGCTAGTCAGGTACGGCTTCCTCCACCATCAAGTCCCATGATCCCCAAAACAAATACTTAACTAATCACGTCTTGACATAGGATGGTAACAGAACGAGAGGCCGTGGTTCGCCATATAATTAACCCATCCTATCGGCTTTCCTCTCCCCTGGGATAATTATGTAAATCCTGTCCTAAATCTAAACAGCAGTTTGTACTTTGTGTCTGTTATGTATGTTAACCCCAGATGTGGTCACCTATGTTTGAATTCTTTGGGGGATAAATATGCATGTCCGGAAAATTTGCTGTAGGGTTGGAAGATTTTTTAAAGTAAAAAGGTACTTCATATACCTCAGACTGATTCTATCACAAATACTTGTTTTACGGCATAATGCAGCGATTTTCATGCGATGATTTTTCCTATGCGGCAATTTCCTACAACTATAAACGTCAAGGATTATAAAACTATTCGCTGTTGGAGTAATTCATGCAACTGCTGGTTGATTATTATTCGCAACAATATCTTAGTCTATGCATCTGAAACTAATCTCATAACTGGCATTGACTGGTAACTGACTGAGAGACTTTGGTTCGCCATATGATTGAGCCACTTTATCAGCTTTCCTCTCTTCTAGATATTAATGGAAATTTTATTTTAAACTATTCAAATTTTTTCAGATGTCCGTAGAATCTTATACGAAGTCGTTCGTCAAGTTTTGGCGAAATGTCTCAAGAACGAACAGCTGGTCGGATTAATCAGTGCCCTGAAGGTTTGTTTTCTGTTTTGTTTTCTGTTCCCAGCTCTGGTCAAGAAGCCACTGATATAAAGAACTGCTGTTTGTGAATGAATCTTTCTGGTTTAAATTGGTTATCTTGTGGAATTGTAACTGAATGCAGGGGGCGTGGTAACTGAATGCAGGGGCGTGGCCAGAAATTTTTGAAGGGGGGTTCTGAAATTTTTATTTGCCAAATTAGATCGAAACGGCTAGTGGGGACGACCGAACGCTGGAATAAGAGTGTTTTCATCAGACCTGAGCAGACATGGCCAAAGTACGGCCCGAGGGTCAAATCCGGTCTGCTAGGTAATACAATCTGGACCGCCCAATGCTGCCACAACCAAACTAAAACCAAATTTTGATGTTTTAGAAAAAAAATAGCTGAACGAATTTGTTGAGATTGCGATTTAATTTAGTTTGGCACGAGGCTTATTGTTTTACAATGTTGCTTTTGTAACCATGTAAATATTCTTCATAAAATGTAACATTCACGTCGCACTTACATGGCCCGCCAGTTGAGATCGGGCAAAATTTTTGGCCCCGTTGTCCAAAACCGTGCCCACCCTTGGTCTTGAGGGTCTAGGAAGCATTCCAAGCTATGAGATATTGCTATATATGATACACAATGATGATTTTTTTTTTACATTTCAAAAGGTCGGGGATTAACCCCTAAAACCACACCCTTGCTACGCCCCTAACTGAATGGGAGGCTGTTGTTATTTTTAAAAATTATTCTTTATTAACTTTTACGATCTTATTGAAGAAATAACTTTATAAAGGCTTAGTTCGCGGAATGATAAAACTTATATTTTTTACCCATTATATCGTAGCAAAAACAAACATGAAAATCTTCTTATTCATGATTCCACTTGATATAAAAAAAAAACCTTGCTCAGGTTTTATTAATAATCACGAATGTAGCTTTGGGGTGTACTAGGGTATTGGTTCCCTGCTGCCCTGGATGTCCTTTTACTCATAATGGGTGCCCAGTACTGCATTTCATTACGCAAATATATGGTATTATTTTATGTTTCACACATTTCAATTTTTGGCTGGCACATTATTTGATAGTTCTTCGTGGGGATATGTTTTTAAGTGTGCCTTTTATATGTATATATACACAAATATATGTTATTCTTTTCTGTTCCGTTCATTACTTACTCGATCTTATTAAGATCGGTAAGTATGTTGATAGGTATTTGTCTATCTGTATGTCTGTTAGATGAATGCTATATCTCACGAACGCGAGGTTGAATCTGCTTCAAATTTTTCATGTGCATGCATCATATCTCAGACCAGACCTATTGATTTTGGGTTAATTATGTCGTATAATTAGTGAGTTATTAATTAATTAATTTTTTTTTGCGCGTTATCGATAAGTCTTCGGTCTTCGACTGATATTCTCGTTTCTATGTTTTGCCGGTCCGTGAGTACATTGAATTTTATCGGTCCGCCAGGGTAGAAAGATTGGGAACCACTGTACTAGGGAATTGTTTACTGAACAGCAATTAATATTATTGCTGTTTGATTAAGCCATAACTTGTTATACTATGATCTAACGAAAGCTCATAAATAGACTTACTATTTTGTGGAAGAGATTCGGTCATTTCTTATACAATTATGCTTATGTTCGCTGATGAAATTCACAAACCTTTATATTTTCAGGAAAAACATCCATCAATTTGTTCTGTTATCGTTGATATATTCTCAATGATTGACATCGAGATAACGGCTTTGCAGGAAAAAAATGTCCGAGATAAATTCCTTGTCATGGTGCAAGTTGTAAGGTGAGTTCCTATCTGAATCAGGCCTCGAATGTTTTCAATCTGTGTACACACAGAATTAAAATTGCGGATTCTCTGATGTCATAGCCAAATTCGAAGTCTCATACTTCTAATGGTTATAAAATTCTGGATAAAGTCAGTGAGCAAGTTGATTAACTGTATAGGCTATCTTGCATTATGTCTAGTTCAAAAATTCAAAAAGAGTTGCCAAACTAAGAGGGCCTGCTTGTACATGCAAACTCTGATCGCACTAAATTCAGCTATACGTCATAACTCTTAAAGTGTTTGACAGTGATAGTGAGGATGAATTTGAAGGGTTTTGAAATACTTCCTTACCGTAATTCATGAAAGTAAAATAATGGTTTTCATTTTCATGAGTTCTTTTCTGCAACCATTTTCTGTGGTATGGTGTATTAGATTTGTAAGGTCGGTTATTGTGAATTATATTTGTACAATGTTGTACTTTTCGGCATTTATAAAAAAACTACTGACTGACTGAATTTTTATATTATTTCCCCATCAGGATGTTGTCGGGACTCAACTTCTAAAAGAACGGTTAGACGTCGACACGTTGGAATCTCTGAAACTTGTCTCGAGCACAAAGCTCTTTCAGCAAAAATATATAAAGACAAAGACAAGGCTTTTGTAAGTTATGTCCTCATATTAGGTGTATATTTCGTTACTCCACAAGTATGTAAACCAAGATGGCGGACACCGGATCGTGGTGTGTGTACCAGGTTTACTACGGGAGTCACTCGACTAGTCCTGAACTCGTATTAGAACTTAAATAAGGAATATTAGAATAAAATTATGGCTAACATTAACCTGGTACACATACTACATTCCGGTGTCCACCATCTTGGCGCACATACTTCGTGTGCGGCTATTTTTTATTAATAGTGATTAATAATAATAATTAATATTGTTTGTAGTTTGTCAAATTTTTTAACCAATTGTTTAAACTTTAAAGCATTTACCGTCTTATGTAGACAAATTGGTATTGAGCGACACTTCAATAGCATATATAAAGTAAACAATAAAATTTACTAGAAAATGAAATAAGTTACTTTTAGGTTTTTGTTGAAAAACAGCCTACTCAAAAAGATTTTTCCCATAGGTTGGGAAACGCTATTTTAAAGTGCTGTCCAAATTAGTTTATCGGTACTCTCGTAGTATGTGTACCAAGTTTGGGTTAGGCTATAATTTTATTCCAGTTTTCCTTATTTTAGTTCCATTATAAGATCTGGACTGTCTGTGTTAGCCAAGTGAATATATCCCCTGCCCATAGATTACAGTCCCTTTTACACAACTTGATGTAAAGTAGGGAAACAAAGTTAGTTACCTTCATATTGGTACACATACTTCTGGAGCGCCGAATACTCTGAATGCCAACCATCAAAATCATAATTCGACAGACGAAACAGTAATTTCTTTCTGTTGTAAATTGTTTACTATATACCGTATATGCTCGTTTTACCGCCCAATCTTGATTAAGGGCTCGTTTGAATAGCCGCCTGTGTGAACAGAACATAAAAATAAATAAGTGCCGGTGCTTGAATACCCGCCCGATGTAAAAGCTGATTTTTCAGTGAAAGAGAATAATATAGGAAATAAGAAGCGCTTTTGTCACTGCGCTGTTGAATTTTAAGTGTTGGTAGATAACACTCACGCCACAGGCATCCGATTATATAACAGATAGCATTGATTACGTAACACCGAGGACGTGGTTCTCAGACTGGGCGACGCGACGCCCAAGTGCGTCTTTTCAATATTGATAGGGCATTGCAAAACTTTTCTTCTTTTGCGGATTTGACGTTTGACGTGAATAAATTGACATGGAAAAAGGATTAGTGTCGTCAAATATTTGTCTTCAAAGATACTGTAATTTTTTTGTATAATTTGACTTTAAAAATACCAAGCTCCCGTGTTTGAATAAGGGCCCAATTGGTGAGTTTGGTTAAAAAAATATGGGCCCGGGCTACAAAACGAGCAAATACGGTAATCCATTTAGGGCTTTTTTCCTAATTTATTTTAGCCCTGTGGTTGTGTGTGTGAATTGATTCAAAACTTTTAGGTGAGTGAGCACGTACCACCCCTTCCTGGCAAAACCTTCCATCTTATATACATTCTGTACATTTTAAACCTTACTCCTGGTTTTGTTCGCTTTCCTGATTTCGTAATCAGTTTTTATTTCTTCATCACATTTATGCTGATTATGGAGTTAAAATAAACTTATTAAAACCATGAATGTAAAAATGTTCAGTTTAATGAAATTTGAGATAATTTTATTCAATTTTGTCATTGCAGCTAAGGTCATAACGCTAACTTTTTAAAATTAAAATATTTATTTCATTTCCAGTTACAAGCAGCAGAAATTCAATCTACTTCGTGAAGAGATGGAAGGATACTCGAAACTGGCAACAGAGCTTGCTCAACTGCAGAACAAGGATGAGGGGGCCGTGTACTTGCTGGAAAATATCAAGTCGCTGATAGGTGGGCCATTATTATTTTTCCCAATCCCCGCATTTTGCTATTTCATTTTATTTCAAAGAAACACTTTTTTTATATCGTCATGCTTGACGCTGTTTTTGTGTCAAGGTATTTGAGCGTTGCTCTTTATATCTATTTCTTCTGCAAGGAAATAAATATTCGTGTTGATTAAAGAGGAAATATTATTCGGTTTAATTATATATAAGAATGAGTTAGGATGGTTTTGTTTGTAAAGTTTTTATTTCAAGCCATTGAAGTCTATCAGTGTGGCCATAAAATGTATTTACTTAATTTCTGGAACTCTTGAAAAACAAGAATTTAATCAAATCAGTGTTCACCTCAACTTATATAAACACATTTTCGAGCATTGGTGAATGTTCCCCAAACTTCTAGAAAAATCCTTTTGAGATTGTCCATGGTTGGTATTCACAAACTGGCTTTCATGAGCATTATTATGTTTGAAATCAACACCGTGCCATCTTCCTGATTACCGATCAACATCGATAAGTATGTTGATAGGTGTTTGTCTGTCTGTTAGATGCACGCGATATCTCACGAAGGCGAGGTTGAATCTGCTCCAAATTTTGCATGTGCATGCATCATATCTCGGACCAGAACCCTATTGATTTTGGATGAATTATGTCGTATAATTAGCATGTTATTAATTAATTAGTAATGGGACATGCGGTGTCGCTATCGAGTCAAAGCGAAGGATACACGCCGCCAGATCGATGAGTCAGCGGCCTTCGATTTCTATCTCATTAAAACATTTCGATGTTTCTCATCACACTAGAAAATCTGTCTGAGCGTGCTGCATAAATTTGAATTGTTATATCTGAATTAACTGATGATGATTGGCCAATGCCATGGAAGGGACCTAGGAAGTCAATGCTTTTTCCAATGATAAATCTCATTGTTCCCTCCAGGTTGCTTCAACATTGACCCAAATCGAGTCTTGGATCTCATCCTCGAATCGTTTGAGTGTCATCCTAAATCGCGAGTATTCGTTCCATTACTTGAGAACTATCTCGTGCTCTGTGAGAAGTCAACGCTATGTCAGATGCTGGGATTCAAGTTTGCTCATTATCAGGTATTTATGTTTTTAACATCGAGCTGTTGTTGAATAAAATTACTTTTCTCCGCAACTGATGGACCTGACTTGTTTTGTTGTGCTCAGTACTTCAAACGACTTCAAATCAACATTTAGTGGCAGTAATGTGCCACCACATATTTATATAGTTTCGATATCTTTCAGCACTTCAGTGGGTGCCCTACTCACAGTGAGCCTCACAGAGAGTCTTGTTTACCTCTGAGTGATAATTGTTTATGGTTTCAATAACTCTTGGTATTCCACTGGTCTCCCTTAACTTAGCTCAGGGTGGGCCCTTTACCTACTGTACATTTAAACAGACATGGGCTAACTATTGTCCATAGATTAAATCTGACGTGATTTAGGTCTATTAGGCTGTCTGATGTTGTTACTTATCGATCTTAAGATCGTTAAGTATGTTGATAGGTATTTGTTTGTTTGTCTGTTAGATACACGCGATATCCCACGAAAGCGAGGATGAATCCGCTCCAAATTTTGCATATGCATTCATCATATCTCGGATCAGAAGCCTATTGATTTTGGGTGAATTATGTCGCATAATTAGCGAGGTATTAAGTAATTAGTGATGGGACACAAGGTGTCACTATGGAGTAAGAGCTCTGTTTTGGGGTATCCCCTAACTTTCGATCGATAAGTCTTCGGTCTCTGACCGATATTCTCGTTTTCCAACTCTATATCGACAATTCCTGTCAAATTTTTCAATCGTAACAAAGTTTTTCTATACTTTCTCCAGGTGATTGGAATGAAGACTCCTGAGTCCTTGTACATTGTTTCAGCCTTGTTAATGCAGAAAGGTTTAGTTGATCTCGACGATCTACTGGTTCATGTAAGTATCTGCGTTTGGATAATTCAGTGTTCCTCAAACTTCTGGGATCCTTGGTTTCCCAGGCATTCTCAACATTTCGCCCTGCTTTTCTATTAAAGTACCTTTTTATGTTTGCTTTTAATAACTCATTTCTATGAGGTATTTTATGGGTAACCTTGTAGTGTATGTACCGGGTTAAGGTTAGGGCATAATTTTATTCCGATTCTTTTTATTTTAGTCCTATTACGAGTTCAGGTACTATCTATGTTAGCCAAGTTGGTATTTCCCTGCCCATAGGCTTCAGCCCCTTTCAGATGATCTACTAGTTCATGTAAGTATCTGTGTTTCGACGCCTAGTTCTGCATTTCTCAACTTCTCGCAGCGTTCCAAGGACTCTCAACATTTTCTGTCATTCTGCTCTTCTTTAAAAAATACCATGTTCTGCTTTAAAGATAGGATAGGATTTACATATTTATCCCGGGGAGCGGAAAGCCGATAGGACAGCTTGACTATATGGCGAACCACGGCCTCTCGTCCGATTGCCAGTCCATGTAGGGTATGGTATTAGTTCGCGAGTTATTTGTTTCGAACCTGCGAACCTATGCAGGTGGCGAGCGTATTCCAAACGCTTAGAACGATATGCCATACCGCCGTCGCCGTGTGATAATCTATCAATTATTATATGTGCCGCATTTAGTAATAACAAACCAACAAAAAATGAAAGTAAAATAATAAATGTATTGCAGTCAGACAATTAATAAACAAATCGTATTTAATTTACATTAACGTACGTAAGCATCACAAATGGTTCTTGCTTGTAGCTGTGATTGTTTGTTGTTAAGTCGTGATACCCTCATACTTTCACAGCTTGTCCCAGAGGACGATGTTTTGACATCAGAGTGGTCGAAAATTGTTGAAGCAGCGAAAGAAAAAGTTCGGAAAATGAATATTGTGAATCTTTCTGGGGCTGAGAAGGAGGAAAAAGAGGAAAAACCGGAACCCCCTGTGAGTGATTCATGATTTTCTTTGAGTAAACTAACAGTCTCAGTAGCTCTTTTAGTGGCCATCAGTAAATCATCTCAGATGTCAATTTCCTTAATTTCTGAGTGAGAGTAAGTAACTTCGCTTTGAACAAATTTCATCAAAAAATTGCTAATTTTAAGCGATGTAAACAGCAAATTTTAAGTGATTCAAGAATCATGCTGAGCACTAACACAAATATATCTGTAATGCTGTAAGTTAGGACCCATAATTCTTCAAGTGAGTCGTTGTGAGTAGTATCAATTTAATATATCAACTTTTATATATTTATCTTGGGAGAAGGAATTAATAATATCATGGACTGGTCTACAGTTACATTTCCTGTTGTTTTTCAAACTTTCATGATCTTTGACCTCCTCCAAAGTCTCAACAATACATGACATACAGCCCTTCCATAAAAATATCTAATTGTGCCCAAATTAATATAGGCAGTTGATGGGAATAGTGCTTTTATTGTTTAAGATGCAGTTTAAAGATAAAGTTTATCAATGGTTCGATAGCTAAATTTTATCTGTTTGTCTTGGGGGGGAATGGATAAGGGGTTTAAATCAAGCGCCTATGCTTTCGACCATAGGCAGGCAGAAGAAAGTCTAGGTTTCCGAAACGAATAGCTGGCTAACTAATCCCATACTCGACTTGGACTAATAAATGGTTGAAAGGCTGTGGTTCGCCATATGATTTAACCATCTCATCGGCTGTCTAATGTGTAAACCAGGGGTGGGCAACATACGGCTCGCGTCCGGCCAGCGACGAGATTTTAACCGGTCCGCTGATCGTATCCAACCAGACTCTGTAATGTGGCCCTACGCATCATTCCTGAAAGTTGCCGATCACTCTAGAGGTCGAGAACCCATGGCGGAGAAATCGGACTAGCAAAGCTAGTTTTTAAAATACCACAGTGATGCCTGAATGAAAGAAGCGTGATTAGTATCGTAGATTTCAACTTGTGCTGCATGTGAGAAATCGTTCAAGGCCCGCAGCGACAACATGCAGCATCAGAAGTCCCATTAAATGTAGATTTCCATTGTATATATATGTGTTGATTTTTGGGTAAAAATTTAAGGCCTGATAAATGAAGAAATGCTATATGGCTCGCACGGAAATTCAGTTGAAAATATGTACCTTTTATGGCTCTCTTGACCAAAAAGGTTCCCGACCCCTGCTCTACTCTCTGATAAAATAAACAATTGCCTTTGTGAACAAACAATTGCCTTAGCACTCTTGTTGAACCAACAATATAAGGTCAAAGCAGAGTGCGTTGTAAACATTCATGTTATAATCCAGCCCGTCAAGGACTTCATTTTCTCACATCCGGCCTGCCGGCTAGAGAAGTTACCCACCCCTGGTGTAAACCCATCTTGTCCTAAGTGGCAAAGTATGTATTATCATCTTGATCAACTCGTGTTGTGAACCACCTGAGACAATCAAGAGTTTGCAATCTTTTTTTACATAAATTTACCCCAAAGAGTTCAGGGGAAAGGTCTGAAATTTTCATTCAATTCTACACTTACAGAAACTTGAAAATCAGAAGTTCGGATTATGTGAAGGATTATTGAGAGTTGGAGATTGGGACAATGCGAAAGAGTTAATGGACCGGTATGAAACCAACTATGCAATGGCAGAAGACTCTTTCGTTCATGCGTTAAGTCAGCTGATTTCCGCAACCATTGATCCGTTCTATAGAAGGTTGGTTATAATTTTTCTCCATCCAAGCATGCAATGGCAGGATATCCATCTTGTCTTCTTTCTTCAAGTCTGCTAATTTTTTATTCTGATGGGCACCGGAACGTAGTATGTGTACCAGGTTAGGGTTAGGCCATGATATTATTCCAATTTTTTTAATTTTATTTCTATTACGAGTTCTGGGTAGTCCACTTCGCAACACAATAGTCCTCAACAGTCCACTTCGCCCACTCCATGAAAGCCGACCATGGCTTTAATCCTGCACAGGGTTACCCAGAGTAACTCATTTTTTTTTTCAGAGTTGCTTCCGTGAAAGGGTCCCAAGCCTTACCCCCCGCAAAGTTGAAGCATGGAGACATAGTGACACCCAGTGTCAAAGAATATGGTGATCTAACGGAAAACGTCTTCGATATGCTGAACAGACTCGGGCCAAGGTTGGCCTGTGATCCATTGCTGATGGCAAAAATCATTCGTATCGGAAGGATGTTCTTTCATGAAGTGAGTTTTTTTTTTAATGAGGGGGAATGGGAGGGGGGAGATTTTGCTTAAGCTGTTGATCTCAATGATTGAACTGCTGCAGATCTAGGGATGGGCAATATAAAATAGTTTACTATTCTAGAATACTTGAAATCGAATCCAATTTCATTTTTATATTTAAATAGTGGGAATTCCCCACCACAATCCTAGAATAAAATTCAAACAAAAATTGTAAATGTATTACTGTCTTTATATTTGATTGGAAATGTCCTGAACATTGTATTTTATTTGATACCAAACAGGCATTCTCAAGACAATGAAATTTAAGAATTTTGACAATAATTTTACCTCATGACTTTCATGACAAGTGGACACGGAAAAATATTTTTGTGTTGTGAGCAGGGATGGCCATTTCCGAATACTAAACTATTCCGAATACATTCTAAAATAATGTTTTCGAATCTGGAATTCCGAATACATTCTAAAATTGAAAAAAACACATTTTCGTTTAGTTTATTAAAGCCCAGTAAATTAGGAAATAAGCTTCAATAAAAATATCAGAATAAAGCCACAAACCAACAGTATAGGTACACAAGATAATTGGTAGTTTATAGCTATCAATAAAAAATAATAGCAACTTGTGACACAGTCAGTTTATTAAAATTATTCACTTTGTACAAATAACCACATGAAAAGATAGCCAAGGAGTTGTCTGACGCTTTCTATCATTAGTACCATGATATTATGATAATAGTAAAGTCTGTTGACAAAAATACTACTTGTATTCAGATAATTGTGTATATTTTCTGAGAGTAATAAAATTTATTGGCAATACAGGCAACTGAAACAAGCAACAACAATCGAAAATCCATTATGCCTTTAAAAATTCTAATATTTAAGCATAGAGTATTCTACTACCTACCAGTATATTTGTATATTAATTTATGTGAACCATATTGTTATTATGTGTAACATATTGCTGTGTTTGAAATTAGAAATAAATTAGTAGAGGATAAATGACCACCACTGCCAGCCGCGCAGCCAGGATTTTCGAAATCGGAAATTCCCATTGCCGCCTGTAACACCCAAAGTGACTTTGGTAACACCCACCGCGATTCCGCGCTCGTTAAAAGAGCCGTATTTTCAGCGTATAATGATCATCCTGTTAAGTAAAATATTCAATCCATGACAACTACGAGTTTCTAAAATATCTTTATATATTAATTTAATGTGTCCAACGTAACTCGCGGTTGCTTCTTCTTACGTCAAAAAAAAAACATTACTATTCGGTCCACGGCGATCTGTGACCTAAAAGTACTATATAATAATACGTTTTAATACGTATTTTTGCAATATTGCCAACTCGTTATCGCCGTTAGAAAAATCTCAAATAATGATATAAAATCCTGTTAAGTGTAGAGTATAATTCATTTCATACAATGAATATAAATATAAAGTTTAGCAGTAAATTGAAAATACGTATTCATCGCCGCGATTATGCCACCTGTTAAAAGAGTCGACTTTCACAACAAATAATATAACAATATATTTTTCTGTTGTGCAAAGTGATGAATTCGTGACCGATACGGGCATATTTAAAATGTCTTGCTTCATTATTAATTTAATTGTCTTCAAATTAACCTGCGGTTGCGTCGACAAAATGCCCGATTAAATAATGTTTCGATCCGTATTTTGCGAATTCCGCAAATATTTAGATGTACTTGTTAACAGTGTCTCCGCTCAATCGAAATGCTGCCACTCTGATTATTTTTAGATAAAACCGTTCGAAAAATCCGTAAATCTTCTGTAACATCTCGGAGTGAAATTTATTTCATCAAAACAAAATTGATTAAATATACTTTGAAAATATTCGACGGCAATTTAGGGTAATGGATAATCAGGCAAATGCCGCCCTCAATTCGTGAGGATATGTTTCTAAACGCCGACCAAACATAATGTGTGCCAGAGGCACACGAAATTCTGCGATTTTCACTGCCTAGAAAAGCATTTTTCAAATTTTTGCGGGCCTCAATAAAACTTTTGTTTACGGTTTTATTTTCAGTATTTTAAATTGCCGCTTTCCAATCAAAAAATTGCGTTGTCTTTAGAAACTCCCCGCCGATGAACGTATTTACCAGATTCACAATTCCGTGCGCGTACAAAAATAAAATAATTGTCTTCGTTACGTGGAACAAATTTGTGGAAAATTTTCGTTTTAGAGAAAATAACACAAACGTAAAGGCGTTTACGGCCTAAATAACACGTTACGCTGATGAGTGATGAAAACAATCTCGCCCAAGTTTCTATCGAGAATGTTTTCATTCAACGGAAACGTCTTGAGAGCGGCGTCGAAAATGTGTGACGTCACACAAATATCCGATATTCTTATGAACGCTAATTCCGATATTCGAATGACGAGATATTCGAATACATTCGAATACTTTATTCGAATTGGCCATCCCTGGTTGTGAGCAATCCGATTTGCAAAACTTGCGAATGACGTCAATCAGGGTTGTCCCAAACAAATCGAATATTCGAATATCAATGTATTCGAATATCTTCTCAGTCCATTTTCGAATAATTTCGAATGTATTCGAAATAGTAAAGTATTCTGAATTGGCCATCCCTGACGTCAATCATTTTGGTATTACATGACCGCTCCCAATGCCTGCATGCTTAACAATTGTTTTTTTTTTCAATTTACAGTATCACGAAGCGAACGAGGAACAACAGAAACAATGGGTGAGTAATTTTCGGGGGTTCGTCTAGAATTGACTTAAAAAGTTGACAACAACACACCCAATGCTATCTCCAACTTGTCTCATTTTTTTCTGAAATATCTCCATGTCATTAGTGTCCCATCACTAATTAATTAATAACTTGCTAATTATACGACATAATTCATCCATAATCTATAGGCTTCTGATCCGAGATATGATGAATGCACATGCAAAATTTGGAGTAGATTCAACCTCGCTTTCGTGAGATATCGCGTAACATACGAACAGACAAACAGACTAATATCTATCAACATACTTCCAATCAAGATCGATAAGAAATAATGATGATACAAATAATAATAAAGCAACGCATATTACAGTTTTTGGTGGATGACTGGCCTGTAATGATGCGACCATATGCGGTCAGTCACTATCAAAGTACTTGAGAACTAAAGCAACTTTATAGTAAAATTCTTTTATAACAGCATGCCGTATACGGTGGATTCCTTGGGGCAACTTCAAATGTATTTCTTCCTGCTCTTTCACTGCTTGAATGCAACGCCAACATGTCTGAGGAAGTCTGGGTGATGCTGAGAATGCTGCCGTACCAGAAAAGGTAATATTTCGATTTTTTTCTGGTCACACATCTTTACACATCGGAATGTTATATGTGTACTAGGTTAGAGTTAGGTCATAATTTTAGGTATAAATACTACGGGAAGCTCTTGGCTAGTCTTCGAACTGATAATAGGACTAAAATAAGGAAAATTGGAAAAAAATTATCGCCTAACCCTAACCTGTTACCCATGTCCGCCATCTTGGTTCGCATACTTCGGGAGCACCGAAAAGCATTTAAAGCTACGGAAAATTGCTATCTATGATACAGAAAAATGATTAAATTTTTATCACATTTTAAAAGGGGAGGGTTTGCCACTGCCAGTCTTGGTTATGGTAATATTTAAGATATTAATCACTTTGATTTAATCTGAGACGACGATAATTTATAAATCAGCTCATTACAATTTTTACTTTCGTCAAGCGTCACTGCCTGTATTCTTTGCGGCTCTTTTCATTTTGCTACCGACTATGTTGAACATTGGGACCGCCAGAAGTATGTGCACCAAGATGGCGCACAACCTGAACATAGTATGTGTACAGGTTAGGGTTCAGGTTGTGCGCCATCTTGGTGTACTTACTTCGGGAGCGTCGTGCATTGCACCTCTACACTCTTTCAACTGATCATAGCTCTCTCATATTCCCTCGTATACCATCCATGTTACCCAGGTACCGACTGTACGGCGAGTGGAAAAACGACGTTTACGAACGACATCCAGATACAATGCTGATGCAAGCGAAGACTGTGGATAGGACGAAATATATTATGAGGTTAGAAAGGATTTTTGTCTTTCCGAACTAAGTGTATCTTGTGTAAAGCAGGGCTATATCCAAGTTATGAAGTAATAAAGCTGCAAATATAGCATATTGTAAAGGCCTGACGATGTAGCTAATCGTGCTAAGCTCTAGGAATTCGCTCGGCACCTCTGATTACTCTGCGTGGGTACGCAGGTTCCAATAGCATGCTGGGATGGTTATGTGCGAGAGGATTGCTGGACTCTTTGCTGCTGTAGGGTGGTTCACATAATCGTTGGTCGGATATAGCTTTCTCCTTCATCAAGTCCATTCTTCCGAAAACAAATAACTGGCTAACCCAACATAGACTGGTAACATATATTATGAGTTTTAGAATGATTTTGTCTTTCCAAACTAAGTGTATCACATATAATTCATTCATGCTGGATGAGTCCACTGTTATGATACTATGACTATGAATTAGGGTTTTGTAAATGCTATGATCATCAATTAATTTACTATTTTAATTGAATACACTTTGAAATAAATACATAAATTAGGGCGCTCTTGTGCTATGTGCACCAAGATGGCGCACACTGGAACGTAGTATGTGTACCAGGTTAGGGTTAGGCCTTGATTTTATTCCAATTTTCTTTATTTTAGTTTTTTTACCAGTTCTGGGACCAGCCAAGTGACTCCTGTAGTATTTGTACCTGAAATTGAAGCCTAACCCTAACCTGGTACACATACTACGTGTCCGCCATCTTGGTGCACATTTCAACATTTTCAACGAAGAACATGTAGGACACAATGTGTATCTAATGAGTTCTAATTTGAGCAGGAAAGGTATGAAGTCGAATGAGAGCATTTTTGGTCATATTGGGATTGTTTTTTGAATAAAACTGGTACTCCCGAAGTATGTGAATCATGATGGCAGACACCGGAATGTAGTATGTGTACCAGGTTGGTGTTGGGCATAATTTTAGGTCCAAATACTACGAGAGTCAGTTGGCTAGTCCCTGAACTCCTAATAAAACAAAAATAAGGAAAATTGGAATAAAATTATGGCCTAACTTGGTACACACACTACATTCCGGTGTCCGCCATCTTGGCTCACATACTTCGGGAGCTCCATAAATCACCAAGCATTACTGGATATTCCATATTTCAGGCGTTTGACAAAGGAGAATGTGAAACAATCAGGGAGGCAGATGGGAAAGCTGAGCCATGGAAACCCAGTGGTATTATTTGATTGTGTAAGTACGTTTACAAACGTTTACGTTACGTTTACGATAACTACAAGGAGCTGTTTTGTTAAAATGTATTTATATGGCGTGGCGATGTGGTTGTTGTGCCATAGCGATAGGAATACGCTCTCCACCGCACATTACTCTTGCAGGGGTTCGTATGTTTGAATCCCATGAGGGGATTGCTGGACTCCTCATGGGTGATTCACATAACCGCTGGTTGGTTACGAAGTCCATGCTCCTGAAAACAAATATCTAACTAATTCCATACCTGACATGGCCTCCTCTCCCCCAAGATAAATTTGTTAATCATATCCTATGAGACATTCATGTTTACTTGAACCCAAACTTTCCAAATAACCATTCATACAATGGAGTTGCTTTGGTTGGGAATCTTACTCGTGTTTACCTTTGTCTGTCCTCAGGTAACATGGCTTTCATTTAGTATGGATTCTCCCCTGCGGGTCTAACGCTTTAAATACAACTACTGGTGTCGCCCATTGAACTAACATGGACCTGATTCTAGGTATTTCACAAATTGAGGAATTGACTTAATATGGCTGTCCATATATCCCAAAAACACGCAAGTTTGAGGGAAATTTTGCAGGATATGACTTCTCATTTGTAGAATTCTGGCTTGTAGTCTATTGTTATGATCAAATACGTAAAAACCATCTTAATACAACCAATAACCCCAAAGTATCAATAACCATATTGCTAGACCAGGGTGGTCCAAACCCAGGCCCGCGGGCCACATGTGGCCCGCCGCTTCATTATCTGTGGCCAGCGTCGCATTCGAGAAGGATTTCAAAAATCGCATTTATTGTTGTTCCGTCATAAAATTACCCAAATAATCTTTTGACATATTGTTGCATCACTAATGTTACTGAATTGACTAGTGTTATGGCGAACTAGCGAAGTCAAACGAGCGAAGTTCTTGGCACTATTGTGGCCCGCGAACAATGCAAAAGTAATTTTGTGGCCCGCGAAGCTGCCAATCTTGGACCACCCTGTGCTAGACAATGAAAAGCCATCTTAATACAACCAAATACTCTTATTCGCTTATGGTATTTCATTTTCTTTATTTCAGATTCTGAACCAAATTCAGCGATACGACAACATGATAAATCCAGTAGTGGACGCCTTCAAATACTTGACGAATCTTTCTTACGATGCATTGGCCTGTATCCTTTATATTTTGAATCGAATATTAGAAACTAAAAATATTTTATTTTTATATTTTTCTTGAGGAAAATTTGGAAAAAATTTCTTTGAAAAATTATTAATTTGACAAAATTGAATTTCACAAACAGAATTTTGAGGACTTTTGATACTATTACCCAGTGATAGCTTTTGGCCCATATTTCCACACTAAGGCTTCATCTTTTTGTACATTTTCTCGGGTTTGAGATCCCCACTGGTCTGGTTTGTTTACCTAATTCGCATATCTTACTGGCTTACGAACCCCATATTGTCAAATTGTTTTATAGGCTTTGCTCTCCTTCCTCATAAAGAATTTAAATAGCCTGATTTTCCAAGCATGAAAGCACTATAAATGTTCTTAACTATGACTTCATGTAACAGTTTGTATCATTGAAGCTTTGGCAAACCCTCTCAAGGAGAGAATGAAGTACGATGATACAAATATCTCAGATTGGCTACAGAGTAAGTAGTTGAATAAGTTATATTTGACATAGTTCATCACGAATTCAGATTAACTAGACCTGGCTCCGCGGGCCACAAAATTATTTTTGCATTGTTCGTGGGCCACAATAGTGCCAAGAATAGGTAAACAGTGCAATACAAAACAAACACTTTTATTGTGCAAACACATAGGTATCAGGCATAGCCATTCTAGGCTAATAGAATCAGCATTCGAATTTTGGTTTTCTATGATGCCTATATTGTTTGCATATATTCCAGACCAAAAAGTTAAAAAAGCCAGACAACAATTTAGACCGCCAAGCGCATCATTCAACTTCGCTAGTTTCCCCAGCTGTCCATATCACTATTTAATTCAGTGACAATAGTGATGACAATACGTCAAAAGATTTTTCTAATAAATTTTATGACGAAACAACACGAAATGCGATTTTTTGATTACTCTCTGAATGCGATGCGGGCCACAGATAATGAAGCGGCGGGCCACATGTGGCCCGGGGGCCTGGGTTTGCACCACCCTGAACTATACCAGTGGTTCCCAGACGATGGGTTGTGCATTTTTGAGGGGCTAGTCCAAATTAAGAATATGAATATTTGACCTTGCCTGCCTTATTTTGGATATTTACATTTCAAAACTTCCCATTTATTTTATTATTTACATTCCATCTTCATACTTTCAACATGTTTTTTGAATAAAACATACTTTCGCTTCACTATCTGTTATTTGTAGCTTATTGCTAGCTAGTTTTTTTGAAGCAGAGCGCGAGCGACTTGACAAATAGGGGTGTCAACAAATTGGAGGTTATCTCCATGTGCTATTCCTCTGATCTAGCTGTTCTGAAATGGTAATCCAATTCCTTGCCTTTAATTTATCTGGTTTTATATCATTGTAGGCCTTGCATCCTTCAGTGGAGCCGTGTTCAAGAAATATACAATCGAGTTGTCTGGCCTCTTACAGTATGTTGCGAATCAGCTGAAAGCTGGAAAAAGGTGAAGTGTTGTCGTACCGTTTTCTTATTCGTCCTAAAGGGGGAGAACATCCAATAAGTTGAGTAATCACATCGCGAACCACAGCCTTTTGTCTGGTTACCATCCCATGTCTGGTATGGGGATAGATACCGATCAATTTGTCACGCATGCATGGGTACGGTATGTCAGTGATCGGCAACCTGTGACTTTTTGTTATCGGAGCTCTGGTTCCTGTGATTCAAAGTGGCCACAGAAGTTTTTCTAGAAAAATTGGGGATTTAATGAAAGTCTGGGAACATAAAGTCGATTACTACTCACTAAATTCCACATCACATTAGGTATAAGTAGAGACCGGTAAAAATAGGTCGCATTCAAGTTCTTTCCATTTTGTCAGGAACTGAATTATTGCATTGTTCCTATTTCATTTGTCTTCTTCTTAGTAAAAACTATATTATTGCATCATAAGTGGTTTTCTGGGAGTTCTTAATAGTCACTGACATTAGAGTAGAAGTTGCGGCATTGAGTATGTTTGAGTTTGACGAAAAGGGTGTCAAATAGTTTTTTCTATCACGTGGAAGTCGTAGTATTTGTCGTATTGGATGACTTTTCAATTATTTTTCATTTTCCAGTCTTGATCTTTTGATCTTGAAGGAGGTCGTTCAGAAAATGTCAGGAATTGAGATTTCAGAAGAAGTAACGAGAGACCAACTGGAAGCCTTGGGAGGTGGAGAGCTGCTGAAAGCTGAGGTGGGTGTGACTAAGGGGCTCTCAACGTGGGGTAGATTCACCCCTTGGATAAAAATTTTACAAACAAGGAAGTATATGACCAAATGCGGCTGTTGACTATATAGAACAGGCGTCGGCAAAACAGCTGTTTTGTTACTATAATTCAGGGAAGCGTCGAGGGCCGGATTATGTTACTCCGGGGGCCGAATATGGCCCGCGGGCCGTAGGTTGCCGACCCCCGATATAGAAGATTAATAGTCATAAAAAATTAGACCAGAGCTCTGGAACCAAATTAAGAGAATAACATATTGAATGCATGAAGGCCGAATAGGCACAGAAACTGAATTAATTGGAGATTGATGCTTTTTATAAAGGTGTTGGGTCACCTATTTTTGGTTTACTATAATCATCTACAAAAATCATATTTTAGGTCGAAATCTTAAAAAGGGGTTTTCTGAATTTTAATGTCAAACTTGTCAAATTTTAATGTCTAACCTAATTAGAGGTAAGATCGGGATCAAAAATTCCAGTCCAGCCCGACCCAGGCCTGTGGGTATTAAATCCTACCCCGACTAATTAACTGGATTTGCAGGCTCGAAAATTCTTATTTTATTTGGGAGTTCTTTGAATTGTCATTGCAAGAGTTCAGTACAGTGTGTGTTGTGTGTTGATATTGTATTATTACTTATCGATCTTAAGATCGGTAAGTATATTGATAGGTATATGTCTGTTTGTCTGTGTGTGTGTCTGTTAGATGCACGCGATATCTCACGAAAGTGAGATTGAATCTGCTCCAGATTTTGCATGTGCATTCATCTTATCTCGGACCAGAAGCCTATTGATTTTGGGCGAATTATGTCGTATAATTAGCGAGTTATCAATGAATTATTGATATATTGATCTAGATTTTTGTAAAGCGAGAGAATTTTGAAGCCCGCCGAGTGTGTGTGTGCGATGCGCAGTGCGCAAGTTACAAGAGCGGATGAATCGAAACTGCAGTTTCTGTTTTGGGGGATCCCCTAACTATCGATCGATAAGTCTTCGGTTTCCAACCGATATTCTAGTTTGTACTATTTTGTTTCGTCTATTTCTGGCAACACCGCCTGTTAACTTCTTTCATTGTTATTGTTTAACGCTCCATTGATTTTGTATCGGCTTGTCCTTGCGAATGATGATTGCAGCATGGGTGCTGTGCAAGCTAATTATATCTATTCTGATTGTGTAATATAAGGTTGTATTATATGATAATAGTCAGTTTAACATCGTGTTGATGAGGCAACTTCTGTTCTTTTCTGCAGACAACGATCTCTCGGGACCAAAACACGGTCGAAACGCCTCATTTAAAAAAGTCAGCGATAGAGAAGCCCGAGCCCGACCCGAAATTCGAGCTTAGATCTAAGCTCTAATCCCAGTGTATTTCTTCCTGTTTGCATGGCCAAAGTTTTTGACTACTTGGCTGTCTCAGTTGCTGTTTTGTGTTGCTTAATTAAGTTTAAATGATTTTAGGTTTCGGTTGTCAATGACCGAATATTGATTCAGATTCAGATAATTTATTTCCATCATGCATAAATCAACACAAAATTTAAAGCACGAAAAATTGACAAACGTGTATAATGACAATCGAAAAAAATGTAATTATACACAAAAGAAGTCATACAAGTGAGAATTCATAGCAATAGATAAGGAGTCGCGAAAGACTGTGACAGTCATCAAGTCAGCGACACATGTGGGCTGGAGATTTAGAGGGAATGACAAAAAAAATATACAAATTTGATCAATCAATATTAACAGAAAAACAAAATCACAACATATCACCAGAGTTATAATACACTCGACAGCGCCCTCATGGGGTTCATAACATTGCTTCTTTGAATACTTCGCTATTACCTTGAAAGTTTGATATTCAATACTCAATCAGACTTTCCTTTTTCAACGCTCCCGTAGTATGTGTACCAAGACGGGAGCATCCTTTTTTCTATGATATTCGCAATTTTTCTGTTGGCAAGAATAGGAATTCAGACAAACTAATATCATAAACTAAATAGTTTACTTTTAATCTTTAGGGAGGATACTTCGGACAAATTCGCAACACGAAAAAGTCATCGAATAGACTCAAAGAAGCCTTGTTACTCCAAAAACTAGAATTACCGATGTGCGTTCTAATATCTCAACATAGGCATGCGATTGTCTTCGAGGAGGGAGAAGAAAAACATTTGAAATTGGTTGGGAAACTCACAGACCAGGTTGGTTTGAAGGTTCTTTTCAAGTTGTCATTGCAAGTTGAGAATCTAGTTCACTTGCTACAGTTCTGTGAGTTTCATCCCATTTTAAGGGGTGGGACATTGCTTTGATCTTAGTCATCAGCTTTGACTACAATTTTTTATGTATTGTTCAATTTGAATAAAGCTTTGTAAAAGCAACCACTGCTATTCAAGGTGCCACTAATTGTTAAGAGAGCCGTTATCTCTATGGTTTGCCATTGTGTGCCCCATAGGTGTGCCCCATTGTGTTGAAAGTCATATGTAATTATGATGGTGCACTCACTCAGAAGTAAAGAGGATTCATTTCACATGTGACTGCTGAAACCATATAGAATTATGGCAGTAAATAACATGATTTATGTGATGTCTGCTATTTCTGTCCATATTATAAAAAAACTTATATTTTGTTCACAGTGCCACGATACTCTAGTCCAGTTTGGCAACTTTCTTTCAATCCAACTAAGCATGGATGAATATGTGAAGCGTTTCCCACCTATTGATGTTCTGGCGAGAGATTATCACACTCCCGTGGACGTTGCGTACTTTCTATCAAGACCGATGTACGCTAATCAGATAAGTGTAAGTTTTTAAAGATTTTTGAAGTATTTCCTTGTTTTGCTAAAGTGTTGTTAAAGGGTTTCATGGTGGTAGGTTGGGGAATTACTCTTTTTTTAGTACTCCCGTAGTGTGTGTACCAGGTTAGGTTTAGGCCATAATTTTATTCCGATTTTCCTTATTTAAGTTCTATTACGAGTTCGGGGACTGTTTGTGTTAGTCAAGTGAATATATCCCCTGCCCATAGGTTTCAGTCCCGTTGCACAACTTGATGTGAAGTGGGCAAACAAAATTAGTTACTTCCATATTGGTACACATACTTCTGGAGCGCCATGGATTGTTGTTTGTTTGTGGATTTTTGGGGACGAGGTATCAGATACAGCCCACCTTCATGTACACATATTTCAACTTTTCCCTCTAATCTAATTTTTAGTCGAAATACGATGAGATTCGACGTTCAGAAAAGTCGAAACAAAAGTCTTCCTCGCTAGAAAAGAATCAGCGATACATCACAGCATGTCAGAGTGTGATGAACCCTGTCTATGAGATGATTAAAGGCACACAACCAGATAAGGTGGGTTATAGGAGTGTTTCCCAACCTAGGGGTTGCCTGAAATTTTCTTGGGTTGCTTGTTTTTTCAACAAAATCCTAAAAGTTACTACTTTTATTTTCTAGTACATTTTATTGTTTATTTTATATTTGTAATGAAACGTTGCTCAATAGTAATTGTATATGTAGGAAGTAGCATTGAGTTGACAACTTTGGCCTGCTCAAGTTTTTTGTTATCTGTAGTTGAATAGCTCAAAGCTGGAGCTCTGTTGCTAAGCTTTTTTCAACCTGAAGTCTGAGCCATATTTCAAATGGCTCAGAAACTGTAGTCAGTCCTGGGATGTAAATTTTTTTCGACACTACAGCCCTGCTATCGACTTGTTCTCAGAAAAAATATTTATTCTCAAAGGTTTGGAACGACATCTCTCCTCAGTTCTACACAACATTCTGGTCTTTGAGTTTGTACGACGTTCAGGTCCCAACAGAAGCTTACGACAGAGAAATTAGCAAACTGAGGCAACAGGTTGACGGAATGCTAATGGAAGGGGTAGGTTCATTTGATTTATAGATTTTTCTGGACAGTATCGAATTTTGAGTATTCAAACGTGTGATATTATTGTGCTATTGAAGAGAATTCTGATCAATTTCAATTTTTTTTGCGTTAATTTTTCTAGACAATAAAGATTTGTATTTGTTCAAGTGTGTTGTGAAGTAAGTGTATGAGTCTGGTGTCTGTCTTTTTTTCCCATGTACCAAGATAATGAGGTAATGGAATTCTGATTGTCAGAATTTATGTTAATTAATTCCCGAGCAACAAAATTGTCAATATTTCCTGTTGTTGCCAGGGTTACATTTTCGTCTTATATTGGTATTGAAGTTTTCAAATTATGTTGAGGAAGCAGCCAAAAATGAATTGATTTTGGCAGACAATTCCCAACTGAATTTGAAAAGCCCGCAATTTTTAATACTCCACTTTCATAATTTGAACTTGCTGTAAAATTATGGTTCTTGAAAATTTTTGAATAAAATGAACCCTGATTTTTTTATTTTTCTGCTCCAATTTTATTCTGCATCCTTTTCCCTATCAATTCAATTTCACGATACACAGAAACCTCGTGAACACTTCTCAACTGAATTTAAAAAAAGGTTTTATTACCCATCCACTTTCAGAATTTAAATTTTTACTGATACCCTTATTTTAAATTTGTTTCCTGGTCTCAATGTTATATTTTTCCTTATTTCAGTCTCATGATACACGGAAACGTCGTGAACGTGAACGCTGTGAATCTCTTGCTTCAAAATTAAAAGAAGAACAAAGAAAACAGGAGGATCACAAAGCAAGAGTTCGGGCTAGATTGAAAAGTGAGAGAGAAGGATGGTTCCTTGCAAGTGAGAGAATTTTATGGTTTAGTAGTTTTGGTTATGCTTGAATAAAGATTTTCATGCTTCAGTGACTTGGACATGGCTGAATGATTTCAGTCATGCCGAATGAATTTATCAGAATACAAGGGTTTTTCCTTATTTTAGTTCTAATAAGAGTTTAACGACTGTCTGTGTTAGCCAAATGAATTAACCCTTGCTGATAGGTTTCAGTCTCTTTACACAACTGGATGTAAAATAGACGAACAAAATTATTTACCTCCATATTGGTACTCACCATACTCCTGGAGCGCCCTATTCCATAACTTTGGTTATTTCTTGAGCGAAATAGGAAATAGAGAAAAAAGATAATGTTCTATTTTGCTCAAGCCCTTATCTCATATCTAAGACCCCATTGTTTGAATTTTTTATATTTTTTCTTTCAGGAACTTCAAAGAATGACGCCATTACGAAGTTTCTACAGCTATGTGTGTTCCCAAGATGTGTTTTCTCACCACTAGACGCCATCTATTGCGCCAAGTTTATTCAGATCATGCATTTACTAAGGACACCAAATTTCTCTACATTGCTGTGTTTTGATCGGGTGAGTTACTTGTGATCATAATTGCTGCAGGGGTGCGCAACCTTTACTACAGAAGGGCCAAATAGAAATAACTGGGTGAAACCGCGAGCCTCATCTTTACTCAACATAGGCTTTCTAGTAGTTGCAGGCACAAAATTTTTGGTTTTTGATTTTATGACTTTCGTTGTTCACTTGCACAAGCTAGCTTGCACAAGTTGGGTCATTGTCAAGTCATAGGCATAGATAATAAATTGGACTCAGGTATAGGTTTTACAACGAAAAGGAACTGAATAAATTAAAAATTTGTTTCATGGGCCGCACATTATTCAGACTTGGCACTTCTCTGCGCACTGCGCAATTTTTTTTGAGGGTCGCATTTGACTCACGGGCAGCAAGTTGCACACCCCTGATCTTCTATGTTGCACAGGAAAACAGAAAATTGCTGACGGTTTTGATAACATGGCATAGAAATTACATATTTATCCTGGGGGAGAGGAGAGCCGCTAAGACGACTTAATCATATTATAAACCACGGCCTCTCATCCACTTGCCAATCCATGTCCAGTATGGTATTAGTTAGCCAGTTATTTGTCTCAGATGCATAAACTTATATTGGAGGAAGCGGTAATCGACAAGCGGTCACATGAAGTTGTTGGTATAAAAACATTAACCTCACTCTTATGTTGCCAGGTTTTCTCTGATATCTCCTACACAGTCGTATGTTTCAGTGAAAATGAAGCTTCAAGGTATGGAAGATTTCTGGCATCTATGCTCGAGATTGTAATGAGATGGCACAAGGAGAAAGAAGTCTATGAAAAGGTAAAAATCAGAGATTTGCTATATAATAAGTCTGTTTTGTTCAGTCATATTGCCTCATTTATCTCATTAGTCTCCTATATACATCCCTGGTCAGATATGGAATTATTAGGTATTGGTGGGACAATGGAGTATTAGGGGGTGTAGTCCCCATGAAGCAAGACCTGAAGATGGTGAGATCTGACCTCCAGGGCTGTAAAGTTGAAAAGACTCTGACTCTTAGACAATCAAAAACCAGCTCCTAGACCGGGGAACAAAATTTTTAACTTGAAAAAATGACAACTGATTGATTTTAAGTAATTTTCAAATTTGTCCTCATGAGCCTCCACTTTTTGAATCCTGTTTTCCAACTGAATCTAAATCAGGGATCTTGATAATTCTACACAAATACCACTTTCTAAGCTTACTTTATCCCTATTCCAGGAATGCAAGAACTACCCTGGTTTTGTGACGGTTCTTCGGACCAACGCTACGGATGGTGCAAGCAAAGCAAATCATTTGGATTACGAAAACTTCCGTCATGTTTGCCACAAATGGCAGTTCAAATTGACAAAAGCTTCAGTGGTGAGGATTTTGTTATTGGAAATTGTTGATATCCTAATTGGCGCTCCAGAAGTGTGTGTACCAATAGGTGGGAACTAATTTTGTTCGCCTACTTTACATCAAGTTGTGTAAAGGGACTGAAACCTATGGACAGGAGGAATATTCACATGGCTAACACAGACAGTCTCTGTAATAGAACTAAAATAGGGGAAAATCGGAATAAAAACATGGCTTAACCCTAACCTGGTACACACACGCTACGGGAGTACTCCTAAATCTGAGCAAGTTTAGGTTCTGTTCAACTTACGAATTCATATCCAAAACTTTTCATCAAAAATTTTTTTTTTAGGTTTGCCTCGATTCTAAGGATTACTGCTCCATTAGGAATGCTCTCATCATCTTGACAAAGGTGAACTAAAAAATTAGTTTTTGTCATTCACTTGTCTTGGGAGTCACTTGCCGCCTAATTTCATGTCTGGGTGTAACTTTATGCTTGAACTTGTAAGATTGTTCTAATCAACTGTATTTTCATAAACGACACCGGGAGTCGTCTTTTTTTGTTGAAGCTGTTATATCAGATAGTCAGAGTATTTTTTTCAATTATCATAAATAGTTTACTTTTTTTTTATAAGTTAACGTTAGACCTATGAATTTAGGACCTCCTGAAGTATGTGCACCAAGATGACGCACAACCTGAACTCAGGTTGTGTACAAGGTTAGGGTTCAGGTTGTGCGACATCTTGGTGTGCATACTTCAGGATTACCTAAATTTATGAGTGCTGCTGCCTGATAACCAGTATTGGTTTTTCGCGTATCCCTTCGCCCTGAAATACCGTTCGTTTATAACTTACTACTGATTGAACAGCCGATTACTGATTGTCCCATATTCCTATGAGCTACAGTTACATAATTTTTTCACTTTTCAGATCCTCCCTTTCTTTCCCATGGTAACGTCACTTGGAAATGCTCTCGAGAAACGAGTCGAAAAAATCAAAGAAGAGAAAGAGAAAAGGCCGGATTTATATGCGTTAGCAATGGGGTAGGTTTAGTGCATTCTTTCCAACTGTATCTTCATTTTATTTCTGGCAACTAGCATTTTCCCAGATGGCTGAGCATGACCAGTGATGTCATCAGTTAGAGATGGCTGAGCATGACCAGTGATGTCATCAGTTAGATGGCTGAGCATGACCAGTGATGTCATCAGTTGCAGATGGCTGAGCATGACCAGTGATGTCATCAGTTACAGATGGCTGAGTATGGTCAGTGATGTCATCAGTTACAGATGGCTGAGCATGACCAGTGATGTCATCAGTTACAGATGGCTGAGCATGGTCAGTGATGTCATCAGTTACAGATGGCTGAGCATGACCAGTGACGTCATCAGTTACAGATGGCTGAGTATGGTCAGTGATGTCATCAGTTACAGATGGCTGAGCATGACCAGTGATGTCATCAGTTACAGATGGCTGAGTATGACCAGTGATGTCATCAGTTACTGATGGCTGACTCAAATATATGTATGTGTATTGGGCTAAAAAGCAAGATAAACAATGAACAAAACGATGTACAAAATTGTTTACCAGCGGGTCTCTAATGGGACGGGGCACATTGATGTGCGCCCCGAAAATTAACAGAATTGTGTTAAACTAATTGATGCTTGAATATTTTACATTTTGTATATTTTATGAATGTTTTATTGTTTCCTTTTTTAAATGCTTTGGCGCTGCATGAACAAAAAGGTTAGGAACCGCTGGCTGGTCTGTACGATAAGACAACATTTATAAACATTTTTTTATGAAGCCACACAATTTATAAAAAAACAATATTTTCTTCTCCAGCTACTCAGGACAACTCAGAGCACGTCGTTCAACCATGGTTCCAGAACATGAATTTCATTTCAAGGACCAGACTAAACCAGCTAACTCTAAAGCTAGTGGAGGTATGAGTTTTCTGTGTATCAGGGGGTTCAGAAATTGCTAATTGAAAAGTTCACTGTATCAGCTAGCAGGTCCGACTGGGTTTTTTTCATTTCAAAAGGTGGACGTTCTGAACTGGGATGGGCCGGTGGCTAAATAGCAGACTCAACTAAGAAAACTGAAGTGCACAATGCAGTACTGCATGATACATTCTTATTTTCTAGGATTTTTTTCTTTTTCTCTAGAAAAAGCAGCCAAAGCTTCCAAATCAAGCAGTGAGAAAGTGAAGACTGATTCAGATGCGAGGTAAGTTAGGGACTTAAGGCTAAAGTTGTGCATATACATTAAAAGGGGGGGGGGGGGGGGGGGGTCGACCCCCAAAACTGCCCTGGCGATACAAATAGACTGCGACATCAACATAGTCGACTTACTTACTCCAAACTGCGAGAAGTGTGTAAAGCAATTAGAAGATACCAATTTAACATTGGACTGTAGATATATTGTGGACAAACCGACCCGATTCAATGGACCTTTCCCCGAGCATTGACTTCCTTCTTTACCTCGTGACATTGGCCAATCAGCAAGATGCAAAAAGTAACGTAACAATGCTCCCTTTTCGCATCCGCTCAGACACTTTTTCACTCAGACAGATTATCAAGCGTGGTCATAAACATTACTTCGTTTCCGCGTTTTTGAACTCTATTCGTTAGTTTTCTGTTGTTTTCGGAAACTTAAATATAAATCAGATAATTCAATGATCACTCTGTCTTCTTAGGAGTTTTAATTCAATTGCAGTTTTAAAAAATTAGTGTAGAAATAGGTGTGATAGACTAGGCTAAAATTCTTTACCGGTACTTTTAAAAAAACAGATTGTTGTATGCGATGAATCATAATGATGGTTTGAAACACATACCCCATATTACAGGCGCCAACTCGCAAAAGCACTCTTAAAATAACCCCGAAAATTTTGCAATGGTAAAGTATAGGAGGAATTTTTCGGGGGTCAAAGGTCGGGGAAAGGTCCATGGAACATGTGGAACTTATGTACAAATCCCCAGGCACTAATGTTAAAATGTGAGATTGTTAACTTTGAGAAAAACGTTTTAAAATCCCAATTTAACATTCATTCTATTCGCTTTTCAGTCGTCGTTCAAAATCTCTTGGGAAGGAAAAGAAGGAATCAACTGAAAAGTCAAAGGATAGAGGAAGAAGTAAAGACAAGATGGCGTCAGGTGAGGATTCACGATTTTCCTATTGGATTGTCTCATCTTCTCTGGTAATAATACTTTGAAATGGCATTCCTGTAGTGTATGTACCAGGTTAGGGTTAGGCCATAATTTTATTCCGATTTTCCTTATTTTATTTCTATTACAAGTTCGGGGGCTGTCTGTGTTACCCAAGTTTCAGTCCCTTTACACAACTTGATGTAAAGTGGGCAAACAAAGTTAGTTACATCCATAATCTATATTGGTTCTCATACTTTTGTGGCGCTCTCTGAAATTGCTATTTGTCAAGTTAGACCTACCTGGTCCTGAGGGTCTAAAAAAAATTTCAAGCTACGAAAATTTGCTATTCATGGCACAGAAAAAAAAGCTTTTTTTACATTAAAAAGGAGGGGGAGGGGGGGTATGACCCCCAACCCCTCTGACTACGCCCTGTCTTGCATTCCAAATTATTAGCTCATATGAGCTAATTAGTTTAGAAGAGCCTTGTAGGGAGTGACTTTGAGACTGTTCCTATCATGTTTTAATACAAAGTAGTGGCTGTTCGGGTGTCAGTCGCTGCTTATTTAGAGACATGTTCAGAGTAAAGGTATGTAACTGTCTTTTTATTTTGTTCGAAACGAATTTTAAAACTTTTAACCTCCCCAGGTGATGCAAGTAATCATCGTTCCAGCAGCATCGGGTTCGAATCCAAGGAATCTTCTCGTAGTCGTTCGATCGGAAAATCAGGAATGAAATCACCGCAGAAACAGAGATCAGGAAGCAGTTCTCGAACTTTGGATAACGAAGAGAGAGGTAGGAGAAATGCTGATGATGATACTTAACATAAATAGAAAATGTCAGCCAGGCGGTTTTCACATCATTCCAAATGTTAGGAGTTCTAATGCCATCCTATGTATGACTACCTGTGTGAGTTCGCAGGTTTGAATCCTGCAAGGGATAATCATGTGCGAAAGTATTTCTGAGCTCTCGCCAAGTTCGCGTAATCGATCAGTGATGTCATCAGTTACACTTGACTGATTGTAGGCAACCAGCTGTGACCATGTGCTCTCTTGAGTTGGGTGCGTCATCCTGCTGGAGGGCTTTCGGGGTAACTTTGTAAACTGTCCGAGGTCATGCATTCCTAACTTGACAGTGTGGCACATCGTGCTAAGCACTATAAATTCGCTCGTCACCGCACCTCTCGTTACCCTGCGTGAGTTCGCCGGTTCAAATCATATGCGAGAGGATTGCTGGGCTTCTTTCCGTCGCAGGGTGCTTTACGCAACCGCTTGGATTATGGGCTCCTTCATTATCCAAATCGTGTCTTATGCTAATTGAGGGTTTCAAGGGCGAATGTAAAATTTCAAAAAGTATTTATTTGGTAATATTACAAAGAAATTTGTGCCTATTTATAGTTTGAATCGATATTCAAATAGGTATTTTATTAATATAAAGTTTTAAAAATCAAAAATATATTCTTTCTAAATTTTCTTAAAACAGCTTTTTTGAGTTTCACGTTTTTAGCTTGAAGCCGTTGTATTGTTATAGTCAGGGCTGCCATAACGACCTTATCTCTAAGATTTGTCCTTTGAAGGTGTTTGTCTTAGAAAAATATTTTATCCTTATTTTTAGACAAAACAATAGCCTACCGGGAAAATTCAGTTAGGGTAACTTGAATAAAAATACAGTAGTGAATGAGAGCTTTGCAGTTGACTTGTAGAATTATTTAAGATCTAACGGGTTTGATTAGTGTAGCATTAACCTACTAGAGTGACTGCCAAAGCGGTGAGATGAAACAGATAGTTCCAAAGAATGAAGAACTGCTGGAGATATCCTTTCTAGTGTCATATTCTTTGTTACTTATCGATCTTAAGATCGGTAAGTATGTTGATAGGTATTTGTCTGTTTGTCTGTTAGATACACGCGATATCTCCCGAAAGCGGTTGAATCTGCTCCAAATTTTGCATGTGCATTCTTCATAGCTCGGATTAGAAGCCTATTGATTTTCGATGAATTATGTCGTATAATTAGCGAGTTATTAATTAATTAGTGATGGACACGAGGTATCACTATAGAGTAAGAGCGCTGTTTTGGGGGATCCCCTAACTTTCGATCGATAAGTCTTCGGTTTCCAATCGAATTCTAGTTATCTTATTAATGTGTTTTCCTGATGTCCTTATTTTTGGGTTCATATCCATGCCGGCCCTGGTTATATCTGGATCATATGCATGAGGAATCTGAAATTTACAAAGTTACAAATTCTTTTGTTTATTTTTTTATTACAGAACGTAAACGCCGCAAGATTGATGCTTCTGATATAAAGGTCAGTACCCAACATGCCACGACTATTCAATCGTGACAGCGACACTGGGGAGTATATATTTTTCAATCTTCGTGGTGAAATTTGTTCAGAATTTTTCTGGAAATCCAAAATCTTCAGGACTTTTATATTCTTGCTTCCGCTTTCTTTTGGAAAAAAATGTTATTCAAGCGTAACCAAAGGCACTCAAGCATATCCGTTAAAGCCATAATCAAGACACGAGAGTGGGAGACTTGACGGTGTTGATGTTTTGGAGACATCTAGCGGACCGAGGAAGTTTGAGAATTACGAAGCTTCAATCAGTAGCTTGTCTTGAGCCTTGTTCATTGCGGAGAGTGAACCAACTGCATTCAATTTCTTCATTTTTTATTTTCTTTGTTTCTACTGTTTTTTGTTTTTGCTAACTTGTTTCTGTGAGTTTCCTGTCCAGAAAACACACTGTGACATCACAAGGAGATGAAAACTCAACATAATATGACATCACATTCTATTTTGTCCACAACAGGCAGAGAAATTGGAGAAGAGAGAAAAATCAGAAAAGGTATAGACTTTTGATTTGTTATTTTAAGAACAAATCGCTAAAATATCACCAGGAAATTTGTATCTATGTAACAGTTTTAATATTTGTGTTTCTGGCAATCATTTTGGATCTTTTTGCACATACAGGATGTTTCCCTGGTCATCGGTTTACTTTTTTATTTTTGTAACAATGACCAATCAGCAAAAAGTCAACGATGATGTAACAATCGCAATTTGTTTGCTCAGACAAATGTTTAAGCATGGTTGTAAACATTGCCTAGTTTTTCCAAAAATTAGTTGTAAATAAAGTAATTTAATTGTCATAATGTCTTCTGATGAGCTCTAAAAAAAGTTATTCCCTGAATAGCTGGGATAGACAGATAAAATCAGCTATCAGTGCCTGTTAGCGGCACTAGGTTGTATATTTTAATACAAATGATGGTTTTGATCATCAATCTTTTCTTCATTTTGTAGAGATCAAAAAGTTCATCGCGAGACATTCTGGACGAAGAAAGAAAATCATCAAAGTCAAAAAGGGAATCGATCGGAAAGGAGTCGAAGAGAATAAAGACAGAGAATGGATCAGGTAAATAAAGTTTTTTGGTATTCTGGAACAGAGGAGTCCATGCGAGATGTCCTTAGAGAGATAGTTTGGCGGTTACTTGTTTTAGATTCATGGTGGTGAAGGAAGCCATTACTGACCAGTGATGACATGGACCACCCTACGACTGTGAGGAGTCTAGCAATCCTTTCGCGCATATAATCCTCTTGCTGGATGTGAAAACACACAGAGTAATGGCGGAGGTATTCCTAACAGTCAGCTCAATGAGTCAAACCGCCGAGCCCACCAATCCACGTTTACCTATTTACACCCACAAGACTCTGAGCCAGAGTTTTTCGAGCCAAGGCACACTTTTTTCATTGAGAAAATCCCGCGGCACACCACCAGCTGAAAATATGGGGAAAAGACCCAATATTCACAATATAAGTGTTATATTGTTAATATAAGATTTTTAACATTGAAGAAAGATGTTGAATAGGACATCTTGAATAGTAATCAAATAAAAACAAAGACAAAAAAGCAAATAACCAGCTGATGCTACCACCGTCTGATATAGAACAGTACTACATGATTACTCTGCCGAGCGCTACACCGCATAGACACAAAATTTGGAGAATTTCCCACGGCACCCCTGACAATATTATGCGGCACACCGATGTGCCGCGGCACCCCGGTTGAAAAACACTGCTCTAGGCAAAAAAACAAATCAGATTATTTTAGGGCTGGACTAGTGCGCTTCCTACTTTGTTACTGTCTGTGCTAATGTTACAAATTTTTATCGGAGGGTTTCCGACCAAGCTTGCAACCGCTCTTTCGAAATATTAAAACTTTTCGCTACTTCCGTTGAGTTTGCATTGTTATGCAAGAGTGCTGCTTCTCTGATCCCATGTATTCTCTCGGAATCGTGAGATTTATGTTTCACACTAGTTTCAATAATTGTGTTTCGAATCAAATGTCTGAAAAAGTGCAATAGTATAGTACTTTGTGTAAAATTGGTGTTCTCTTTGCGAACCCGTAAAATTTGTTGCGCGTCCTGTGCGGTGTCACGAGTTTGGGAAGCGCTGATCCAACTTATCAAGTTCACATCTGTAGTATCTTTTGCAGCCCCATCCTCGAAATTAATTCTTGAGTAAAAGGTAAATAATTTCGAACCCATAGAGCAGACATGGTTCGTTGTGCTTTGTAAATCTTTTACAGCAGTGATTCTCTAACTTTTCAAACCGCTCTCCATTTTCTAGGATTTGTAAAGTCTCGCGCCCCCCGCCCCCCCTCAAAAATAACTAGCTAACAATAAGCTACAATTAATAGATAGTAAGGCGAAAGTATGTTTTATTCAAAAAACATGTTAAAAATACGTGAATGGAACGTAAATAATGAAATAAATGAAAAGTTTTGAAATGTAAATATTCAAAATAATGCGGGCAAGATCAAATCTAACAAATATTTTTATTTATAATCAGCTCCCCCCCCCCAAAATGTCTACGACCCACCCCTAGTTGGGCACCCCGCCATTTTTCTACAGCTTATGATGATCATTCTTAACTGGCGGTTTATTCTTTTTTAGATGAAATCAGAGTAAAAGAAAAGCACAGGAAATCCGATGGTGGGGAGAAAGCTAAGAAGGTGGGTTACACAAAAGAAAGTACCTTTTACTTTGGGTTTCGTGTCGTTTTCACATCTCGTAAAAAAGCCCAACCAGAAACCTAATACGATTCCATCTTCATGTATCTACACATTAACCGATGCGTTGTATTGTCAAGAATTATGACAGGATGAAATGTATAATTGGTTGATTTTAAGGTTAAGTAGGTGGGTTACACACAACAACTCACGATGGGGTTTTGTGTCGTTTTCACATCTCGTAAAAAAGCCCATCCAAATACTAGAAACCTGATGCGATTCCATCTTCATGTGTGCTACACATTATCTGATGCGTTGTACTGTCATGAATTATAACAGTATGAAATGTATAATTGGTTGATTTTATCTCACACTACGTACAAGACCCTGCATAAGTGCCCACTGTATACAGAAGGAGGTATTACTTTTAAAAAGAACAGAATCTTCCTAGTTTGAGATTGTCGACCTGATTTAGTACACCCAGATTAAGGACATTGGAACTGAGCCAGTGGTTTTTAACTTGCGATCTCAAACCAGTTTATGTAATGCATTAGTAATTTACTGACTAAGAAGGAGAGGTCTTCCATGTACCATGATTGCCTTTCATGTGGCCACAAGCCTCGCATGGTCACCACCGTCAATTTCATGCATCTGACCTGGCTAACTAATCTCATACCTGACATGGACTGGTAACCGGACGAGACGACGTGGCTAGGCATGTAATTCAGCCGTCTTAACGCCTTAGCTATTAGTTAATCGTGTTCTTTTTTTTAGAGTTCTGAGAGAGAATCTCGCAAAGCAAGTAGAGAAAGGAGTCGCCATGCCCGTTGAAATCACTGGAGCATGGAATGGATACAGAGCTTGAAATGAAACTATTTTGTATTATTGTAATATACTGTTTTGGCAGAATTATCAAATGAAAGAATGGCTTATCTATTGCCGCAATAAGATTTACAAAGATAGCACACCCTTTCTAAAGATTTAAATACAAAACAGTGCTCAAAATATGGAAATGAAGTCCTAATGTTGAATATAAAAATTCTCATAGACATTTGTTATATAAAAGTATATCTATGAATTAAAATAAAAAGGGCAAAATTTTGTTAGAAATATCATGACTATAAGGTAATTTAAAAAAAAGTTTCAAGTACTAGCCTTCTAGTCGTTTTGTCTGTCAAGTAACGAGAATTTGACTGGCCCATTATTTGCGGAAATTTTTTGCAAACAAATAACATAGACATGTGTTATATAGAAGTATATCAATGAATTAAAATAAAACGTCAAAATTTTGTTAGAAATATCAGGACTATAGGGAAATTGAAAAAAAAAGTTTTGTCAGTCAAGTAACAAGAATTTAACTGGCCCATAATTTGCGAAGATTTTTTGCAAACAAATATTGAGCAAAATGCATCATATGTACACTTTGTGTCCAGTAAAAATCGTTAAAAAAGCATATCGAGTCTTGATCTAATTGTTGAGTTAACCCAGAAAAGACTGAAAAATAAATCCTGTGCTAATTTTGGATTAATAATTATCATATTGTATAGATCGATGCCTTATGAACCCCCCCTACAATAAAATTTTGGGTGCTCCAGAAGTGTACCAATATGGAGGTAACGAATTTTGTTCGTCTACTTTACATCAAGTTGTGTAAAGGAACTGAAACCTATGGGCAGGGGTATATTCACTTGGCTAACACTGACAGTCCCTAAAATTGTATTAAACCTAAAATAAGGAAAATCTGAATAACATTATAATCTAACTTGGTACACACACTACGGGTGTACCGAAATTTGTGGAAATCTCCAATGCACTGAATTTGTGAATGTATCTCACTTTAATTAGTGGTTGTTAGTTCGCCTGTTTCTGGATAGCTATTTCAGTGTGTGACAAGCTGTTACCATATAAAACCAAGAAGCTGTGAGCCATCTTATCACTTTCCTTTCTACCGCGTTAAATATCAAATTGATCCCATATATACTGGTACTAGAAGCGGACCTCCTGAAGTATGCGCATCAAGATGGCGCACAACCTGAACACAGGTTGTGCACCCGGTTAGTGTTCAGGTTGTGCGACATCTTGTTGCGCACACTTCAGGAGTATCCTAGAAGCTTTGGGCCACAGCCCAGGCAGTCTTTTCCATTTTTCTCCAACTGAAAGTCTTCTACTTCTCCTATTACCAGGAATTGAAGGCGTCAACATAGTAATTAAATTTTGTCTCAACTCAAAAACTACATCTGTCTCTTCATATATCTAGAAATGGGTGACTGTACATTTGAACCCACGTACATTTGAACCCATGTGTATATCCACGGGTTCAATCTATATGCGGGTGCTAAAACCCATGGGTTAGGGTTAGTATGGGTTCAACTATCCGAAAAACAAAAAAAATACCATAGGTGCAATAGCATACAGGTGCAATTGTCATGGGTTCAAATGTACGTGGGTTCAAATGTAATGGAACCCTAAAAATGGCATGAGACTGGCGAATTCTAAAGTACATTGGGCCTTTTTCTCGTTCTTGATTTAATTTAGTTTTTTTACCATTGCTATAAATGGTGCAGGAAAGAAGGAATGTTTCAAATGCATTAGGATGTCTTATCTCTCTCGTCTTATATTTCCTGCATCTGATTATTGAAATAAGTTTGCCGTTATTTAGTCTGTTCTAATTGTATCGTCCTGCCTTTGTACTGCCTTGTCTTTGTGATATTAAAAAAAAATGATAAATGTGTTGTTGTGATATCTAGGGCTCGGACATTGTTGGTATAAATAATGTAGTTATAGATTGATTTGTTAACCAAATACCACTAAAAATGGAAGCTCACCATTAGTGAAGAGACTATTTTTTTTTGGTCAAGACTTGCGGCACGACCAGTATGTTCCCCAGCTTTTCTTTTTAGGGGGGGTGTTTCAAAATGTAGGGGGTGGTAAATAATTTGCTATTAGAGATAAAACTAGGCTATTTGTATTCCTAAAAAAATGGTATGTATTTAAGAAACGATGTACATGGGGGCCCACCAAGTTGATTGACGCGAGCCAAAATCCACAGCAGAATGAAATTGTAGGGCCACAAAAGGGGAGCGAGGAAAAGTGCGGGACGACACGGCTGGGGTTCAGGGCGCGGTCAAGCGCCCTGAGAAAATTTTGAGAAATAGGCTCTAAGCTTGATTTTAGATACACCTAGCATCGCAGTTTGTTATGTAATGAAATCAATAATTATAATATTTAGCTGATAGACTTCCCGGGGAATAGATAACAAGCACGGCTTTCAACCGTAAATATATACTACTACGTTTCAACAAGTAACTTGCAACTGATAGTGACTAATGAAGTTACTTGCTCATCTGGCATTGTATGAATGGCTACTTATGGCTTGTTTTGTTACACATTTCTAATTTTTTTGAACATGTTTGTTTGACTTTTGTATGAGTTAAATTTTGAAATAAGCTCGTCAACTGATCATAATGTCGCATAATGTTGTATTCCTTCAGAACTGAAATATTTTGTTGGTAAGAAGACAAATCCCTGAAGTTTGATTCTTTTCAATAAAGAAATAAAAACGCTGTCATTCATCTAAAAAATGTCTGTTTTCAGTGCCTAGTTTTCGTTTTGTGACATCTTTAAGCTTTCTTAATATACGGCTGATATCTAAAATACTGCAGTGTGTAATCCTAATACCCATACGTATACATAAGATACCGGAATAATTCAATTGTTACGAAATAAACGTGCTTAAACTGTGATAATGATGTAACAATAGACGGTATCTAAAACTCAAAAGGTACCACATGAAGGGTTAAACTATTTCACTCAAGTTCGGCGGGCCATTTTAAATCCGTAATTGGCCCGCAGACTGAGGTTTAGAACCCCTCAGTGTGGAATCGCACCTCAAAATTAGGGGGGGTGTTTGAAATTTTAGGGGGGGTGTTCACCCCCTATAGGGGGGGTGTAGGGAAATCACTGGGCACGACCATTCGATCACCAAAGTGTGTGTGTTGTTGTGATACCTGGGGATCTGACATTGTTGATATAAATAATGTAGTTTTAGATTGATTTGGTAAGACCATCCCCCCCCCCCCCCCCCCCCCCAAATAACCTGCCATGCGTAAGGTTCAGAGTGAACGGGATTGTGAAGCGAAGAAGATTTACGCAGAATACTGAGATATTTGAAGAACGACCCATGGGTGACAATATTTTGACTGCAGACTCCCAGTTAAAGATCCTGGCTCAAGTCGGAAAAAATTTAATTTCGATTACCGCAACAGTACAATTCAATCGTCTGTCGCGTCTAAAATTATGATGAGTGTTTGGCGATATGGCGGAGTGTACTGAAGCGTTAAGAATACACTAGCAAGCCACTGCACCTATGATCACTCTGCGCAAGTTCAGATCAATGCGGGGACGATTATGTGCGAGAGGATTGCTGGACCTCCTGCCACCACATTGTGGTTCACATAACCGCTGGTTGAGAGGCCGTGGTTCGCCATATATTATTTTGAAGGCTTAATTAGCTGCTGGAACAGACATGGGCAACCGCGGGTCAAATCCGGCCCGTTTTGTAATCCAATCCGGCCTGCCTGATGCTACCACAACCAAACTAAAACCAAATGTTTCAGCAAATAAATAGCTCATGGAATTCATTGAGAATGGGATTATATTTAGTTTGGCCAATGCTAATTGGTTTGGTACGAGCGGTATGTTAGTCGTTGGGTACGAGGCTTATTGTTTTTAACTTTTGCTTATGTAACACTGCAAATAAAATTCTGTTCGTGAATTGTAACTTTTTCATGTCACACCTACATGGCCCGCCAGTCTAGGTGTGCAAAAATTTTGGCCCAACCCTAACCTTGGGTGTCTCTACTTGGTAACCAGCTTAGGATCCCTGAGACTTTTCTTCCTCAGTAAAACTATATTCTTAGCATTTTCGCACATTTTTCGCGTTTGTATCATTTATTATTTTGAGAATTAGAAAAATAAAAATGGTCACGGCAACAAATACCTCTGTGGTATTTCAAGTCGGAGATAAAAAATTATTATCTATCTATGTAATTTATCTTTGATGATAATTGAAAAATAATCCTTCCATATGCGTACATTTGGATAGGGGACGGACTAAAAGTAGGCACTTGCAAATTAGGCACTTTTTAGGCACTTATTTAGGCACTTTGGAAAAAAAGTAAAAAGGGCGTAATACCTTTTAAAAACATAATTAATTAGTTAAAAATGGTCAAATTAAATGTTGAAAACGCAAATTGCAACGGACAAACTCTATAACAATATTTAAAACGTAGTATTAAAGGCAGTCGCACGCGCTTGGTCACCACATATGCTAGGCACATATTTAGGCACTTCGAAAAATAAATAAAATGGCAATTATCACTAATAGAAGACAGAGACATAAACATATTACCCACACTGATTAGCCTGGGTAAATATCCAATAGATGCACTTGAGTTTAGTACTGGAATTTAGAAATAATAAATTGTTACCGGTAGGCACTTTTTTAGGCACTTCGGAAAAAAAGATGAAATGGTCGTAATGAATTAGTTCAAAATATTTAAATTAAATGTTGAACGCGAAAATTGCAACAGTTAAATCCAATAACGATTTTTAAAACGTAGTATTAAAGGGAGACGCACGCGCTCTGTCACCACGTATGCTAGGCACATATTTTGGCACTTCGAAAAATAAAGAAAATGGCAATTATCACTAATAAAAGACAGAGAAATAAAAATATTACCCACACTGATTAGCCTGGGTAAATATCCAATAGATGCACTTGAGTCTAATACTGGAATTTAGAAATAATAAATTGTTACCGGTAGGCACTTTTTTAGGCACTTATTTAGGCACATCGAAAAAAAGGTGAAATGGGCGTAATAATTTTAAAAATGATAATTAATTAGTTGAAAATTGTCAAATTAAATATTGAACACGCAAATTGCAATGGGTGAACCGAATAACAATATTTAAAACGTAGTATTAAAAGGAGTCACACGCGCTCGGTCACCACATATACTAGACACATATTTAGGCACTTCGAAAAAAGAAGAAAATCGGAATTATCACCAATAGAAGACAGAGAAATAAAAATATTACCCACACTGATTAGCCTGGGCAAATATTCAATATATGCACTTGAGTCTAGTACTGGAATTTAGAAATAATAAATTGTTACCGGCAGACACTTTTTTAGGCACTTCGAAAAAAAGGTGAAATGGACGTAGTAACTCCTAGAAAGATAATGAATTAGTTCAAAATATTCAAATTAAATGTTGAACGCGAAAATTGCAACAGTTAAATCCAATAACGACTTTTAAAACGTAGTATTGAAGGGAGACGCACGCGCTCTGTCACCACGTATGCTAGGCACATATTTGGGCACTTCGAAAAATAAAGAAAATGGCAATTATCACTAATAAAAGACAGAGAAATAAAAATATTACCCACACTGATTAGCCTGGGTAAATATCCAATAGATGCACTTGAGTCTAGTACTGGAATTTAGAAATAATAAATTGTTACCGGTAGGCACTTTTTTAGGCACTTAAATAGGCACATCGAAAAAAAGGTGAAATGGGCGTAATAATTTTTAATATGATAATTAATTAGTTGAAAATTGTAAAATTAAATGTATAGCACGCAAATTGCAATGGGTGAACCGAATAACAATATTTAAAACGTAGTATTAAAAGGAGTCACACGCGCTCGGTCACCACATATGGTAGACACATATTTAGGCACTTCGAAAAAAGAAGAAAATCGGAATTATCACCAATAGAAGACAGAGAAATAAAAATATTACCCACACTGATTAGCCTGGGCAAATATCCAATAGATGCACTTGAGTCTAGTACTGGAATTTAGAAATAATAAATTGTTACCGGCAGGCACTTTTTTAGGCACTTGAAAAAAATGTGAAATGGACGTAGTAACTCCTAGAAAGATAATGAATTAGTTCAAAATATTTAAATTAAATGTTGCACGCGAAAATTGCAACAGTTAAACCCAATAATGATTTTTAAAATTTAGTACTAAAGGGAGACGCACGCGCTCTGTCACCACATATGCTAGGCACATATTTGGGCACATCGAAAAAAAAAAAAATGGAAATAATCACCAATAAAAACAAGAAAATAGAAATATTAGTCAAAATGATTAGCCTGGGACTGGGTGAATATCCAATAGATGCACTTGAGTCTAGTAGTGGTATTTGAGAATAATAAATTGTTACCGGTAGACACCTTTTACCGTGTTTCCCCGAAATTAAGACAGTGTCTTATTTTAAATTTCTTCCTAAAATTACCACTATGGCTTATTTTCGGGGGATGTCTTATATTTTAATTATTCAAATACAAAATTACAAAGTAAAGAATTAAGATATTTTCAAATATGCAAAATATAAAAATCGATATCATTGGGTTTACTTGTTGCAATTTGCATATTAACTTTTTAATTTAAATATTTTAAACTAATTCATTATCATTTTAAAAGTTATTAGTATTACGCCCATTTTACGCATTTTTAGAAGTGTCTAAATAAGTGACTAAAAAGTGCCTACCGGTAACAATTTATTATTCTCAAATATCACTACTAGACTCAAGTGCATTCATCGGATATTCAAATAGGCTAATTATTTTGACTAATATTTTTATTTTCTGTATTTTTATCCATGATAATTACCATTTTCTTTATATTTCGAAGTGTCTAAATATGTGCCTAGCATATGTGGTGACAGAGCGCGTGCGTCTCCCTTTAATACTATGTTTTAAAAATCGTTATTGGGTTTACCTGTTGCAATTTCCGCGTTCAACATTTAATTTAAATATTTTGAACTAATTCATTATCTTTTTAGGAGTTACTACGTCCATTTCCCCCTCTTTTTCGAAGTGCCTAAATAAGTGCCTACCGGTAACAATTTATTATTCCTGAATTCCAGTACTAGACTCAAGTGCATCTATTGGATATTTACCCAGGCTAATCAGTGTGGGTAATATGTTTATTTCTCTGTCTTTTATTAGTGATAATTGCCATTTTCTTTATTTTTCGAAGTGCCTAAATATGTGCCTAGCATACGTGGTGACAGAGCGCGTGCGTCTCCCTTCAATACTACGTTTTAAAAATCGTTATTGGGTTTAACTGTTGCAATTTTCGCGTTCAACATTTAATTTAAATATTTTGAACTAATTCATTATCTTTCTAGGAGTTACTACGTCCATTTCACCTTTTTTCCGAAGTGCCTACCGGTAACAATTTATTATTTTTAAATTCCAGTACTAGACTCAAGTGCATCTATTGGATATTTGCCCAGGCTAATCAGTGTGGGTGAAGTTTTTAATACTCTGTCTTTTATTGGTGATAATTCCGATTTTCCTTTTTTTTTCAAAGTGCCTAAATATGTGCCTAGCATATGTGGTGACCGAGCGCGTGTGACTCCTTTTAATACTACGTTTTAAATATTGTTATTCGGTTCACCCATTGCAATTTGCGTGCTATACATTTAATTTGACAATTTTTAACTAATTAATTATCATTTTAAAAGTTATTACGCCCATTTCACCTTTTTTTTCGATGTGCCTAAATAAGTGCCTAAAAAGTGCCTACCGGTAACAATTTATTATTTCTAAATTCCAGTACTAGACTCAAGTGCATCTGTTGGATATTTACCCAGGCTAATCAGTGTGGGTAATATTTTTATTTCCCTGTCTTTTGATAGTGATAATTGCCATTTTCTTTATTTTTCGAAGTGCGTAAATGTGTGCCTAGCATATGTGGTGACAGAGCGCGTGCTTCTCCCTTTAGTACTACGTTTTAAAAATCATTACAGTATTGGGTTCAACTGTTGCAATTTTCGCGTTCAACATTTAAGTTAAATATTTTGAACTAATTCATTTTCTTTCTAGGAGTTACTACGTCCATTTCACCTTTTTTTCGATATGCCTAAATAAGTGCCTAAAAAAGTGCCTACCGGTAACAATTTATTATTTCTAAATTCCAGTACTAGACTCAAGTGCATCTCTTAGGTATTTAATCAGGTTAATCAGTGTGGGTAATATGTTTATTTCTCAGTCTTTTATTAGTGAATATGCCATTTTATTTATTTTTCGAAGTGCCTAAGTATGTGCCTAGCATGTGTGGTGACCAAGCGCGTGCGACTGCCTTTAATACTGCGTTTTAAATATTGCTATTGAGTTTGCCCGTTGCAATTTGCGTTTTCAACATTTAATTTGACCATTTTTAACTAATTAATTATGTTTTTAAAAAGTATTACGCCCTTTTTACTTTTTTTTCAAAGTGCCTAAATGAGTGCCTAAAAAAGTGCCTAATTTGCAAGTGCCTACTTTTAGTCCGTCCCTTTGGATAGTGCAAGGAGCGATGTTCGGGGAAATTTACAAAATTTAGCCATCTGGTCCGTGAAATGATGAACGCACATGCAAAATTGGATTGGGTGGAGATTAAACCCCGCTTTCTTGAGACAAAACAGACAAAGATCGATAAACAAGATCGATAAGTAATGATATTTTTACATCATGCACTCGGTCTATTACTGAATCTGTGATAATATTATTTTTCGTCCTTGGTATTCATTTTTGATCCCGGTCTGTGTCCAATAACAAAAAATATGCTTTTCGTGAAAATTTTTCCCTTGGACATGTCAGGCTTCAACCAACACATGAACTCTCTAAATCCTAAATTGCCCTTAGTAACTTCCATAATACCATTAAATTGCCGACTCGTTTCCTTTTTTCCTCGTATTTATTTTTTATATATTCATTTTTAATCTCATTTGTAGCCACCTATGATGAACTTATATATGGCACATACACAAGGGTCGGGAGCCTAGATGACTTTAATCGGTCTTGCACACCGACCCGCACAAAGCAATAATCAATTACTGTGGAATATTTTCGTTATTGTATTATGTTTATATTAGTGTTGATTTTGTTTTTGTGGCAATAAATCTCTCTCTCTCTCTAACTCAACACACTTCTAATGGGCGGTCCACATTTATTTTGCAATTTGTGATTGGTTGCGCCCACTCAAGCGTTTCTGAAACGCGTGGTCTCGATAGTTCGTACGATTTTATGTGTAAACATTAAATTATTCAGCGTAAATATGCCCCATTATTAGGGTTTCCTTTCGTCTGGGAGTGGAGTTTCAGCTTGATGATTCATTCAACTCACTTTACCGGTAACGGTTTGTTGCGTTAAATAACTATTAAATAGGGGTACCGTAGAGTATGGTAGTTGGATTGGGTGACAGGTTAGGCGTCTGGACGTTCGTAAGTTTTGTTTTTATTACCCCTGTGACGTCACTCTGTCCCTAAGGCATTGTGTCATGTGAGTAATACCTGTAATACTGTACCGACTGACCCATGGCAGAACTCAGAAGAATGAGATATGGGTTATGCATAAGTAGCTTTCTGGCTTTATTTCTATATATTTATTTTGGGTCTGGACTGGTTCAGTACCACATATACTTCCAATTGGCCTTGCTCAACAATTTTAACCACCACCTGACTACGTCACCAAAAAATTACGTCATTTCGATGTCACGATTTCAAAATAAGGCCTACCAAAGTATGCGGATGGTCGTCCAAAACGCGCAGGATCACTCGTAAGTAAGCAAGCTATTTCTCTAGTTTTCTTTTCACAACGATCACGATAAAAGAGTAATCGCTGGCTTTAGCAAGTTCGTTATTGACGGCGCAGATGCCATTCCGGGCGATTGTAATTATAATTTGGCAGGCCCTATGACGTGATTGTGACGTCGTAGTGGCGTAATTTTTGGATGACATAGTCAGGTGGGTGTTAGAAATAACATATGCAAAATTCGTTTTGCTACGCCCACCGGAAGTACTTGTGGTACTAAACTACACTGGACCCTCACTCCTAACCCCCATCTGACTACTTCACCAAAAAACAAAGTGTACGGATGGTCTTCCAAAACGCGCCGACAATCACCTGAAATCCAGCAAGCTATTTCTCTCGTATTCTCGTCGCAATGATTTCGATATGAGAGAGACCGCTGGCATTAGAGAGTTTGTTATGGTCCGCGCAGATGTCGTTTTGGGTGATTGTAGCTATACTACAAGCCCTATGACGTGATTGTGACGTCGTAGTGGCGTAATTTTTGGATGTTACGTCCACCGGAAGTACTTGCGGTACTAAACTGTACCAAACCCTCTTTTTTTTATATATTCCAAGAACAGCCCAGCCCCAAACTGCCAACATTTCATCCACTTATTTTCAAAGTGTTTCTTGAATAAAACATACTTTCGCTTACCGGTAACTATCTGTTATTTCTAGGGGAACTTGGATATTGTGTATTGAACTGCAGGTCCTTTCTCCTTGATTACCTCCTACTTGAATCTATCTGTTGTTTGTAGCATATTGTTAGCTAGTTATTTTTGAAGTGGGGTGCGATACTTCTCAAAGGAGACGGGCCGTAAAAAGTTTGAAAACCACTGCATTAAATGGGGTCTTCATAGCTGTTTCGCGCTGTTTTGCGCTCTTTGCGGTGTTTCGCGCTGTATTCAGTAAGTAGTAAGACCGCATTAAATGTATTGTTTTTAGCAGGTTAAAATGAATTTATAGTTTCACTTCATATATTACATACACTGCACTTGTTTTCATCCAAACGTATTCAATGCAATCAACTCATCATTATGCCTTCGGTACAAGATTCATCTGTTCACCCATCAAGTACGCCTCCACCACGCCCACCTCCCCCTGGATGTCGACCAACGCCTTCAACACGCCCTCAGTCTGCTGGTAGTCGACCTGTTCCCGCAAGAAGAACTCACTCAGCCAGGTTTGATTATATTTTTTATTCTTGCATTCAAGCTATTCATAAGGGGGGGAACTCAAAAAAAAGGATGCGTACGAAAGTTTTCAAAAAAATCATATTGCATGCCACGTTCAATTACTGAAACAATTTAATTTCATTGAAACCTACTGTTTTGAAGACGTTTTCGACGGACCAAATTTGGAATGTTGGACTTCAAGAGAGAAATAGCAATGTACTTCACTGAATGAATCTAAATGTTCATCTGTTAACCAAGTCCTAAGCTGAGATTTGCTTTTCTCCATGGTTAAGAATGCCTTTTCACAACAGGCCTAACCACTGGCTACTGTATGTTAGTAGCTCAATTACTTTTTCTCAGCCAACAGGGCAACTAGCTGACTGTGAATAAACATTGTGATTTAGGTTTATTTTGAAATAAAAGTCGGCGTATCAGGATGTAATATAAATACAAGAATTCTTTTTATGGCGTGCCATATTGGGCAGGGGTGCCTCGTGTTGTGTACCCTTGGCATAAGGCATCCTAATTTGCTAACAAATCCTAGAATTATATCTTTTGTTATAGAATTCGTCCTCATAATGGGGAACACCCAACGCGTAATTTCATAGTACTGGTGTACAAAACTACGCCAGGTATGAGCACCATTAAAAAAAGAATAATAATATCAACCAAGCTGACTATCATAGTTTAACGACAGATGCAAAATTTTTTATGTTAGTTTCGCTTGCTGATCATCTGTGCCTTATATCAATAATTTCTAATCTTTGTCCCTCACTGTGTCTAAAGTTTTTGTCATTTGTTGTTCGGCAGGGATGGCCAATACCGAATAGTTCACTATTTCGAATGAATTTTGTAAATATGAATCCAAAATTAATTAAATTCTGTCACTTTACCGCACATGCGACCCGTGGAGAAATAACAATTTCGAATGGTGTACCCGCAAAACGGTCGTCCAAATACCAGTCATGTTAGCAAAACAAGCTTGCAAAATTCTGTTGCAAAATACGCATTATATTACAAAAACGTGTTTCTCACTGCATTCGTTTGAAGTCGGTGTGACAAAAAATTTAAATAGCAGTTTCTTCAGAAGTTTATGCGTTTTAAATCTACTATTTCTGCAAGAACCCCTAATAATGCCGTAAGATCAATAGCAAATATAGGCAATTTTTGTGCTTGCAACTACCAGAAAGCCTAAATTAAATAAAGGTGCGGCCCGCGGCTTCACCCAGTTACTTGTATTTGACCCGCCAATAAAAAAGGTTGCACACCCCTGCTATACATCATTATCAAGAAGCCTCATGTAATTGACATAGTGGCGAGCATGTTTCCCACTCTTGAGCGATTCATTCTAAACAACCTCTTTCTAACTTTTTTAGTCCAACACACGACTATCGTCGAAGATCCCCTACAGCTTCTGCTTCTCTACGTTTATCATCTGAGTCAATAAGGGGCGCTAGAGCGCATCTTCGGGCATCACAATCACGAGGAGGAGAAACTAGACATCAGCGAAGACCTTCCGAACCACTTAGAGGCACTAGAGAACCAGTAATACAACATAGGCGGCGACAGAGTGGGGGACAACCCCATAGAACCCCTCGACAGCATCGTGAAGGAGAGAGAAGAAGGTAGATTTTTACCATTTAAAATCGGTGAACCATGACTGGTCAGATTAATCAGATCTTAAAAAAGGTTATTCGATTGCCGTTGTTTTGCACTTGATCAATTTCTGGGTTTTAATTTTGAATGAAATAGTGGGAGAGACAAATCTGGTAAGAGCGTCAAACCTATTTATGTTGGCGTTTCGTGTTAAAGACCCTATGCCCATCTTCTGACGCAGGCTTGATAAATTGGGTAGACCAGAGGTTCCCAAATATTTACACTGCGATGCTCTTGTGAGTCTCAAGATAATTTCAAGAAAGTCGTGAAACATCGAGCAATTTCTTACAAAATTTCTCATTTGTCCCAGGCTTTAAACTTTAGATCAAATAATTGAATTTGTTAAAATTAGTCCAGTGATTCACACATAATTATCTCCTCCTAGACTCCAAACTAAATTCTGAACGTTTTTTCTTACATATCGTTGGATATCAGTGGATGTGCATCCTTGTTCGGGACAAAATTTAGGAATAAACATAAAAAATATCAATGTTTTCGCATGTCTAGGAGTTCAGCAGCAGACCAAAGAAGAAATGGCAATGGACAAGCGGCACGATCGCGCCGCTCTCGTCCTGAGATTACGATAGTGGCTGCACGTCCGATGGCCGATCATCCTGCGTTTGCTGATGGAGATAAGGGAGGCTACATACCACCAGAGGCACCACCAAGCTATGAGCAAGCGATGCGGACTCCTCTACCGTTAAATCCTACTTTCACTGACCCTGCGGTACCAGGTATGTTTCTGATTTGATTTTGTTGGCATTTGTCTTTTGAGATTCGGAATTTCACAGGAATATGCTCTTCATCATACGTCTGATTATCCTGCTTGGGTTCACAGGTTCGAATCCTGTGAGATATAATTATGTGCAAGAAGATTGCTGGACTTCGCCGCGTGGTTCACGTAACTGCTAGTCAGTCATGGCTCCCTCCACCATCAAGTCCTTGCTTCTGAAACAAATAAATGGCTAACTAATCCCTGACATGAACTGGTAACTGGACGAGAGGCCATGGTTTGCCGTATTATTAACCCTTTTCGTGCGGTGGGCACGTATACGTACCCACGACAAAACTCGCTAGATTGCGGCGGGTACGTTGATGTACTCCACTGTTTTATTTAGCAATCGGTACGTACCCACGACAAAACTCGCTAGATTGCGGCGGGTACGTTGATGTACTCCACTGTTTTATTTAGCAATCGGTCGCAAACTGTTGGTCTAGTTTTTCCGGGTTTTAGTTTATTGATAAGAAGTCTTCTTCGAGATTAACATAAGCGACGGTAAATCTCGCTTTCGTTTACCATGGGAATTTTATTTGCGGCGGAACGAGAGAGTGTTTTTAAAATTTATGCAAATTTCGGTGTTTTTTGGGTGGTAATAGAAGACATATTATCCCTTCCATCTACCAAAGTATTTTGAGTTAGATAACGAAATTGCTACAGCAATATTATGCTATTGTTTGCCAACCAAGAAGCGGTAACAGTAAAGGATTTAGCGAATATTTCTATTTTTAATCACGGTTTGAAGTTTCAACACCCAAGAAAAAAAAATACCTTTTTTCTATCCGGTTTGTGACTCAGACCACCCCTTTAAAAAAAAAAATTTTTTTTAATTGCCAATTGCAAGCTCTTTAAATAAGCTTTCCAACGAGCCGTCAGTGGGCAGCAGAGGATCATTACTTTTTCGTTAGTCGATCGATTAGTTGTGGGGGTACAAATGCATAAAGTCAGCGTAGCAAATACGATTATTTAATAAAAAATAAAAATCGCACGGAACGGGTTAAGTTGTCTTATCGTTTCCCCGGGATAAATATGTAAATCCAATTCTATTTTTATTAAAATTTGCTACTTTCGACATCTTTCCATTAAATCAGGTAATAATCCACTAGCTGCCAGCAGAGAGATGCATACCAGTGGATCAATTTTGAATACACGTTTGCTGATTATTAAGTTTTCTCATACTCCACCTATATTTCAATTGCCAAATACTGAAAATTGCAATCTCAATTACATTTTGAGCTCTGCTATAATCTATTGCAGACTAATAAGCAATGATAACTACCGGTATTGATCCTGCAATCGAGATACACACACTGATATTTTTAGAAACATTTATATTAAACGTGCATGAATGAAAACGGTTATTTTCTATTTTTCTGGTGATTTAGTTTTGAAAATATTGTTAATTACAATTACAATTACAAGAAAAAGGAAAGATAGGATTTACATTTTTATCCTTAAAGCCGATAAGACGGCTTAATCATGTGGCGAGCCACAGCCTCTCATCCGGTTACCATTCCATGTCAGGTTAGGGATTAGTTAGTTATTTGTTTTCGGAAGTGTGGACTCAATGACTCAATTAAATGTGAATTATAGTATGTATGTCTGGTTGATGGTCCAGGTCAGGTAAAGGTGAGATGATTTATCCGCCGTGATATAAAAAAGATAACACATGTAACAAATTAACAACAAATTTAAGTATTAGACATTAACAATAAAATTAGTTTTGACATCATAGATATTGAGAATTCGACATCGATCAAATGTGGCTTTCGCCATCAGATTTCACCAAATCGAATAATTTGCAAGTGATTATTAGCATTATTCATGATTTATATTGTTTTCCATGTTTTTTTATCATGTGAATTGTTTCACAATAATTGAGCCGAACTGAAATCTCGCTTATTGAAAAGCAAAAGGTTTTAGGATAAAAAGAAATCTCCTTTTAAAGTAACTATATCTGTGTAGTTGCAAAGGTCATTTCTGTACTTTGGGTAGCTATTTAACCTTCATAATCACATATTTCAGCTGAGTATGACACATTTTAGTTTTGTGTTACATTTCTTCTGAATGAATGGGTTTACATATTTATCTCGGGGAGAGACGTAACTATCCCCCCCCCCGCATGGGTTTCGAACCTGTGGACCCGCTCTTCCCAACGCTATTAAATTTTAAAATGTTATTCATAGCTGTGACTCTTTAACTGTTATAAAATGAGTGCTCCCTCTTGCATTGCTCATCTGTGTAATTGTAACAAAGTGAACACCATAAATTTTTCAGTATTAATCATCAGTACTTTGTCATCCTTTTATACCGGTATAAGTCTGAGTGGGCGAGAATCAAAACAATTCTGGCTGTCGTTCTGTCTCTTTGTGAACGATGTTTTATAGTTTTTTGTTCGCCGGTGTTCTTAGGTAAACATAAATAAGGAAGTGTTACTTTGGTAGTCAGAAAAATATTTTGCGTCAGAAATGAACAGGTCTATATGGTTTTAGTAGAATTTTCAGTAGTGATCTGTATATTTTTTCAGAGATGCGTCTTCTATCTAAATGAGTACAATACTATATCAGCGGCTTTCAATCAAGGGTTCTTGACCCCAAGAGGGCCAAAGAGAAGTTGCAGGGGGCCAAATTTACTTTACTTTCCCTTTACAAGAAAACTCCTCATACTTCCGAGTTTCATTACTTGATAAGGTTATTTCACAAGATGTTTTCAATTTGTTGAGCATGAATTGTTTGAACACAATGGGGGATAACACTTTAAATGATAAACAGTGGGCCTTGAACGCTAAAAGCCTCCGGGAAGAAACAGCGAGATTTTAAAGATTGGATACCACCGCTATACAGTTTTAGTGTCTCTTGGCATTCCGAGGACTGCTTCAAACCTTGCTTAGGTCCTATCCTATTTACATATTTATCCCGGGGGAGAGGAAAGCCGATAAGACAGCTTAACCATATGGCGAACCACGGCCTCTCGTCCGGTTACCATTCCAAGTCGGGTATGGGATTAGTTTTACTGTATTGTTTTGTTTTCGGAAGCATGGTGGTGGAGGAAGCCGTAACCGACCAGCGGTTACGTGAACCACCCAACGACGGCGAGGAGTCCAGCAATCCTCTCGCACATAATCATCCCTGCATGGGATTCGAACCTGCGAACCCATGCAGAGTAATTAGAGGTGCGGTGGCGAGCGTATTCCTAACGCTTAGCCCGTTGAGCCACACCGCCGCGCCGAGATGAGTCTTCTTTATGAGTCTTTCTTTATTGATGAGTCTTCTTTATTTTAGAGCAGTGGTTCTCAATCTTGGGGTTGCGAAATAACATGATTTTATGTATGACTTTTTCCAATCAAAAAATTTTTTTTATATCAGTATAGAAAATAGCGAAAAATGAAAACGAAAAACATCGGATGCTTATTTTTAGGGGTTTGACTGATCATAGAATGGTACAGGGTCCAGCACTTCAGAACTGAGCGCTCCTACCGACAAGAAATCTTGTCTGTTAGATTAGAGCTCCCTCCTTGGATACGATCAGGACCTGTACATTGTTTTGTATTATGTTGTTGATATTGTTGGGAAAAAATCGCCTTTGTTTCCAATTACAGGATGGATCGCTTTGAAATTTTTAGTGGTTGAAAATTGTTGTTGTTGACGGCTTGTCGCTTCCTAAGTTTCCCATGAATCCTATGAGACCAGACATATCATCCAGAGTTTTCTTAATGAGGACACCGATTTTATTTCGCCAAGCTTGATAGCCTATGTCAAGTCTTTCATTTTGATTTGAATTCAAACGCGAAAGTCGGAATTTTTTTGATCAGGGTACATGTAGTTTGGTACCACAAGTACTTATCGTTTTACCGCCCGATCTTGATTAAGAGCCCGTTTGAATAGCCGCCCGTGTGAACAGAACATAAAAATAAATAAGGGCCGGTGCTTGAATACCCGCCCAATGTGAAAGCTGATTTTTCAATGGTAGAGAACAATAGGAAATAGTGAAGCGCTTTTGTCACAACGCTGTTGAATTTTAAGCGCCGGTAGATAACACTCACGCCTTAGGCGTCCAAGTACATAACAGATATCATTGATTACGTAACACCGTGGTTCTCAAACTGGGTGTCGCGACGCTCAAGTGCGTCGTTTCAATATTGATAGGGCGTCGCAAAACTTTTCTTCTTCTGCGGATTTGTACCTGCGGTGCGTAGAAAAAGTCTAAATGTTTGTTATTCTCGTTTAAATCATACTTGAGAACTGGAAATAACAATATATTAATTATTGTAACGATCGAAAATAACAAGCGCCCGTGCTTACATAAGGGCCGGTTTGAATAAGGGCCCGGTTAGTGAGTTGGTTAAAAAAAATATGGGCCCGGACTACAAAACGAGCAAATATGGTATGTCATTCTTGACCCCTACCTGATTTTGCCATCCCAAAGTTATGTCGCTGTGACGTCACAATCACAAGAAAATTTGCTGGCTTTAGTGAGTTTGTTGGCGTTGGTGCTATACTATTGTCGAGTTTTGGAAAGATGGTGGGTAAATCATTTTGTTTTGGTCTTAGTGTCCATATATTTTAGCATTGCATTGTTTCTTATCACTTTCGTGCCACGGACATATCTTTCAAATGAAAAAGTGAAAAAATAAATAAAGTACGGGGTCAGGTATCTTGTGTTGTTCATGGGGGGAGAGTATGACGCAGTCAATTTATCGCTTTGTTCGAATTTTACTCTTTTGAAACTGACCATGGTACAGGAAATGTTATGGCATAAAAAGTACTCAAACAAATTGGTAGCTGAATGCCAATACTGAATTTGTTGCGTTTCTGATTTTTGAACACAAAAATTTTTCTAGATTAGAGCTAACTGATAGCTCATTTCGACACCTCAAAACCAAACAGTGCTAAGTCCACTTTTCCAAAAAATGACATTTTTCAATTGCTGATTTTCCTGGACTTAGCTCTACATTTT